AGCTCCTACATGAGTCCATTACTTATAAATAGGCTTGCTTTGTTCGCAAACTTACTAATAATAACAATCCACTTTATTTATATAGTAAATTAGATTGGAGTAAGAATGCCTATAAAGTAAATTCATGTAAAAGAGCCTCAAACATGTTGAATATTCCATGCCACGAGACAATGAACTTCAAGGGATGTTTTTTTAAATATTCAGCCGCAAAAATATGTAATGAGTTGCCCACTTTAATATAAATTATGCAACATTTAAAAAAGGTTTAATTTTATTTTAACCAAAAAGGATCATAGTTAATTTAATTCTAATACTAAAATATATAATAAAACTATAAATTATAATAAAAGGTGTTATTTCGTATCCTTTTAGGCTGAATGTCTGTATATTTAATGTAACATTGTATTTCAATTTAACCTTTTTTTAAAGGGTGACATTACTAATATACAATTAAGTACGATGTTCTTGCAACCAATAAATACACAAAACAGCAGGGACTGACGAAAACCATGCTGAGCAAACAAAAACAATAAAAAAATATTTGTATTTAGTGGTATTTATAGAGTATTCTCATCTGATTGGGAATAAATAATATAAAAGAAGATGATAAATATACATAAATATATATTAAATAAAAGCCCAAATAGATGTAAGCCTTCGGCAGGAGAGAACAAACGGGTTTAAGGTTCAAGAGGGTTAGGGTAGAGAGAAAGGGAAAGGAACTGGCGGACGATGCGGGCGACATCGAGGAGCACTGCCGCGTGCATTTGAGCTCGGAGCGGTCGCCTCACATAACCCTCGTCATTCGCAGTGGTGATGTCGACCGAAAATATCCATGACTGTGCCCGGTCCATCAGCACAATATCAGGCTTATTCGCAAGAAACCGTGATGATGGCCCGGTGCCATTAGAGCCTAGCGTGGTCATTTTCGAGCACGGCTTCTGGCAACTAAGGCAAGTGTTTCTTTTTTTATTTAAAAAAACGTTACCTCTACACTAGGATTTTCTCCTGTATCGGGAGGCAGTTTACAAACATAAATTGAACAAGGACAAACATCCATACCCGGAACAATTATTTGTAGGCCATACTTGTTCCGTGCGGGATTCGAACCCGCGACCCCAGCGCAGCCAATCATTACTAAGCTACTGGGCCACGGTAATAAGGCAATTCCCAACCCACGAGACCTTATTTCAGAGCGAGCTCTTGATGTAGGATCCTGGCTATAAGGTAGTGTCTGTGCAAATACTCAGAGTTAGAAAGCACCAATCCACCCGAGGTAACATGCTTAAGTAACTCACCGATGTGGCGACAAGCTCGACAAATATCGACGGTGTCACCCTATAGGATGTATCTCCGATAATGGTTGGTCTTAATAAGCTGATCCTGTATTGCACAATAAAATCCTTCCAGCCAGTGGAGAAGGCGTTGGCTAAGGATAGAGGGTTAGCCTTAATCACACGAAACGACGTCCTTGTAGAGTGCAGCATCCGAGCTCGCCAACAAGTAATTATGAAGGCTGCACACCTTGCGACAATGCATGGTGAGAGCGCTTTAAAAGCCGTAAACACCATGTTTCCGCGGTAAGTACAGCCTCATTACAGACGATCTCAGGTGATGCATCCTATGCGACGTCCTAATAGTGCGAACTTTTTAAATCCAGAGCATTCAGTTAGGTCTGAGTCCTCCTGAGTATGCCAAAAGTATACATGAGGACAGACATGACCCAACCGTTACATGTGTGTGCCTTAAAAATTGTTAAAAACTTTTGTCAAGCGTACAAAAAACACATCGCAAACTGAATGTTTAGTCCGCCTCATCGACACCTATCTTCTGTGACATACCCATATCGATATGTTTCAGCCTCGGAAAGGGCCCTTTTGCTGATGGATAAAGGTAAGTCTATGCCCTCAAAATTAGCAAACTTACCCCTCGCGATATGGACCACACACTTAACCGTCCCCAGCTCCATGCTGATAGATTTGCTGAACTCACAAGTGATGTTCAGCAATTCCATAAGATGGGAGTAACTGGAGGCGAACAACCTGAGATCATCCATATAGAAAAAGTGGGTCACTTTTGTCCCTCCCTTTTCGAAACTGAAATTTCCTCCCGGAGCCCTCCAATAAGGTACTGAGAGGGTTTAGGGAGAAGCAGAACCAGATTGGACTCAAACAATCGCCCTGGTATGATATACCCCTTCTTATCCTTACATGGCTTTCCGCATCCGTCATTTGTACAGTTAAAGGCTTCCTCGGGCAGAATCTGTAGCAGTGGAGTCCGATTCTTTGCCAGCTAGGCGGGGGGGGTGGCGGCTGCGAGCTGAGGGAAACAAATCAGTACATTTGTTTCCCTGTCGCCTCTTACTACACCCCAGGATGATATAGGGTAGTGGATATCCTTACACCGCCACTGCGAGGTACTGTTGTAAAATATTATTGTAAAATTGAATACCACTGGGTTTCTCGCTGGTTCTTCCCAGGATAGAGTTATTTTCCAGCGGTATTAGACAAGTGCAGTGTAGGCAATGCAATTAATCAATTCTACAATACATTGACAATAAGATACAAATCTATTGAGGACTTCTTATGGTAAACTGAAATCGTTTTTGTTGGATATGCTTTACAAAAGTTTCATGTCTTTGACTAAAATAACTTGAAAAGTGTATAAAATATAAGAATATTAACAATTAATAAAAATATCAAAGAGCCTCAAAATTGAAACTTGTGGCTCGCCAGAAACTCCACTTGTCCGTTCAGATTTGTAACTTTATTATATATTACAGATTATCATATATTTTCTATATATGATAATCTGTAATATATAATCCATTTAAATAAGTTACCGTGGACCCGAGTAGTAAATGTTTGTAATAAAATGGAGTCATTTATAGTCTGTACGAACGAAACATTTGCTGCAGCGTTTGAATATTGTGTCAGTTTATACTCCTACGTCTATTTCAAACGCGAGGTAATCATTGTGTATTAATAAATTAAAAGTAATGGAACGGATTTTAATAAATCCATGTTGAAGTGTTGTGAATTATGAGCTAAGAGTGGCGTACAATTTTTGATAAACTATTCAATTAAAAGTTTTAGCAAATATACATAATTTGTAGGTCTGTAATCGTGCATATCTTTTCTGTTATTATTTTTACACACTTGAGTAACAAAAGCAAATTTCCATATTTTATAGTAGGCACAATATCACCTATATGGGACTTTTTAAGGTACAATTAAAAATGAAAATCGGAGGTAATTCATCTGAGCCTGCATTTATTTAATAACCAACTTTTTGAATTGCTGTAAGATAGTATTTTGAGCAATTCGTATTATTAAAAATAATATTACATAATATAATAGGTCCTTACATATGAAATTGGCGTTTTGTACGGAAGGAATATAAAGTCATTTTCTTTTGTAAAATATATTTAATTAATCTCAAAGTATGTACCATTGTTGTCTATGCACTTTTGACATCTCGTAGGTAGTTCATTGATCCCTTTATTAAAAAAAGAAACCATGGGGGCAAGAATCAATAAACTATTTGAAGGCGTTTTGGACAGCTACATCGGAGTTGAATTTTTTCCTTGTAAGAAATAAGTCCAAATTCGGGAAAAAATGGTCCGGGAGCAAGATCCGGGGAGTACGCTGGATGTCGCAGACATTCCAATTGTAGCTCATCTAAATTAGTGGTTGTTTGTTGTGCAGTATGTGGTCATGCGTTCTCGTGAAGCAGCAGTGGCCTAGAGCGATTGACCAATCTCGACTGTTTAGCAGTTAGTTCTTCCTTCAGGGTTTGCAGTAAAGCTGTAGTGAACGACACCGGCGCTAGTCCACAAAACACTCACAAGTAACTTTTTCTGAGTCAATTTTCGTTTAGGGCACGATTTGGCTGGGTCTTCTGGGTTCTTTTGCGATACCAGCGCCGTGCACATCATTGATCCTTCGAGCTGTTTCTGCAGCACTGGTGCCACGGTAGAACTCGTACTCGTAAATATATCGATATTTCATGTTTTGCATTGTGTGGTAATAAGCGGCGCCAAAGAAAAAATAACGAGGAAAAAACAAATGAATGACTATTTTCAAAGCTCATATGTACCAGCTAAATGAATTTATAAATTTGAATTTGTCTTAAGTCTTACCAAAGAGGAGATATTTCAGATCAAAGTGGTCAGTACGAAAAAACGATAATTTCATAAGTAAGGACCCAATATTAATAATAGTTAACAGTATTATAAATAATCGTGGAATGATTATATGATATTAAGATCTCTTTTCTTGTCATTAATATCTTAAGGATAATTATTTAAACAAACAATTGAAAATTCAATGCATGTTAATGGACGGTTTATGTATATCTACATTAAGTGATAGTATAAATATAATATAAATTGGTTTATCCAATTATGTACATATGTTATATTTATAACATATATCAAGAAAATTATGTATGTATGTGAACCGTGGTAGCTCAGATGGTTAGCGCTCGCTGTAAATTTCACAGTACGAGAGCAAACCGGGTTCGATCCCCACCGGCACCAATGAAATTGTTAAGTGCAATTTTAAGTGCTGATTTACCACGTGCTCGGCGGTGAAGGAAAACATCGTGAGGAAACCTGTATGTCTGAGAAATAAGAAAAAAATCGAAGACATGTGAAGTTCGCCAACACGCATTGGGGCAGCGCGGCGGATACTTCCTTGCCCTAATACACTCTCAGAAATGAGGGAGGCCTGTGCCCAACAGTGGGACGTATATAGGCTGTAACTAACTATGTATATATATCGATAAAATTATGTATGTATGTTTATTTAAATAGTATATATCATTATACCTTTTATCGTCTTTTTTGATCTTTGCTGCACCGCCTCTTAAATGTTTACATCTATCTCTGTTTAGTCAAATGGTTGACTGGGAGGAAATGCCCTATTACATTGAGTCCGCATTAATAAGTAATAAAGTATAAATAATAAATAACTCTAGGAATGTAATACGTGTCTCACCTCCCTTGGGGTCGTCGGCATCGATGGGTTGTTTGAGCGCGGTGATGTCGCGGAACGTGAGCAGGAACAGCACCACCAGCTCGCGCTCGTTGCGGATGGGCGCCACGTGCACCAGCAGCCACAGCGGCGTGCCTGTCGCGCCCCACACAACTTTAACTAATTAACTTTCTTTTTTTTTAATTACTTCGAAATTTGAAAATAGTGAGATAAAATTTTTTATACAGAATATAAGGATGACCAGTGAACACACAGTCCACTTGACGGGAAGTGGATACCTAGTCTCGATCGAGAATCAAAATGCAGATGCGTTGTCTCCCTGAAGGACTCAGACGGAATACCTCATGTTCAGTAAAACGGGTCCCCAGGTCTCTACACTCACCACACAAAACACAGCAACATAGAGCTTAGAGTGCATTACCTATTTTACGCTGGTGTACTGTGAGAGAGTGCTATTTCCTCGGTCGGGTGGACCCATTTGTGCTGCAACCATAACTGAAACCATAACTGAATGGCTCTAACACGTATAAATTCATTTCGTTTATTTAATAATATAACATCAGAGGGTCGGAATTCCGGCTGTTTAATTCCGTTTGGACATGTCCCCAGCTCGCGTATAGGATCCTGTGCATGTTTAATTATAACAGGTTTTATGTTACGTTGCCAATAAAATGAAAGGTGTAACAGTGAAAGGCAATAACGTTATAGTCCTGAGGACTCCTCCGTGCCCCTCCTTCCGGCCGGGTCTCATGCAGCCGCCGTTTTAACATGATTGTGATGTTAAAACTTGTTTGTTAAAAGTTGTTGTACACAAAAAAATAAAGTTTTCATCAGTACCCTGTTAGCTCGCTTTTTACTACGAGATTAGAAACAAGATATGATCGCGTAGTATTATATTTAAAAAGAAAACTATTTTCGACGAATAAGATAAATATTATTATTATTATATACCCATCTGCAATTTCAAAAGTAGAAGAAGTAGCAATAGCAATAAAATTTTAATTGTTGAATAACCGCCTGGAAGTATTCCACTCCATAGCATGCATTCAATGAGCCCTCACTTCTAAATACGGTATGAAAATAGTAGTGACAAGTGTGAAAGCTACTTCAGCGTAAGTTGACAGACTTCGCATATCCTGTTAACATAACGCTTCCTTCATCGCTTTGCGCATGGTAGTAGTACTTAAAATTCAATTAAAATTTCAGTGATTTTAGCTACTTTAGTAGCTCGATCTCGGGTACCTCGCTTGTTGAGAAACTTAAGATGAACGCCTCCCTTAAACTACCCCACCTTGTCTAATTAACAATAATACAATATTTACACATATAAAACAACTTGTGGCATTGTGCCAAAAGCTTCGGCTGCATTTACTTACTGAATCGTTCATAAAACATATAATGCAGGGTTACACCTTAAACATTGATTAAGGTTTATTGAGCGGTTAGACTTTTGAGATAAATTCACAAAAAAAAATTTCTTGAACTTAATTTGGCCAAATTTCGCATGAATATAAAATATTTTTAAATTTTGACAAGTCATAGAATTGCTTAGTCATTCGATTTAGCGGCCATCTATGGGGGAGGCTGTATTCAGCGGTAGACTTGCGATGGGCGGTACTGTTGGTGAGCGTGGATCCGATGTGTATCGGGCCTCACTCCCGGCTGTTACGGCCGGCCAGAGTCCTGGTGTTATTAACTTAGTCACTTGAACACGAGTGATCGTTGTGGATGTCATTTGTTACTACAAAATGTTTGTCCATAACCAGCCATATAAAGCAATTTGTGGTTGAATATTTAAATGCATCATTCTCCATATGATGGGACGTCGTACTGTATATTTCAGAGTGAATTATCTCTTATTTGGTTTTAAGATGTCCAAGTTCCAGTCACCGCAAAGAATAATTTTTTTATGCTTTTTAGTAAGTCTTGCTAGTAACTGTTTTAGCTTTTCAAGAAAATAATTCTATATAAACAGATAATCGTAATCTTATTTACTTCTACGCCACAACATTCAAAATTAAATTTACATGTCAAATCATTAATATTAGTCACGTTTTTATATTTCAAATTGTTATTTAACATTATACATACCCCTCCTCGTTTACTGTCCCATGAATACGATGCAACTAGTTTGTAACCAGGTATTTTAAAAAGCATTTCTGTACCTTTTTTAAGGAAAGTTTCTGTCAAACACACCATATCTATCTTTGAACCTTTTTGTGACAACTCTCGGATTGCAAATGTTAGTTCTTTAGTTTTATTTATAGCGACGGCAATGTTCTTGACTCCCAGAAACAGTAATCAATGATACTAACGGTTTTTCTTGTAGAGCAGGATCTCGAACTGGTCGGCGAGGTGGTGGTCCAGTGCGCGGTCCACGCGCTCCACCGCCTCCTTCTCTGTCAGCTCGCCGTACATCCACGTGCACCTGCCGCAACAAAACACTCTCGTACTTCTTGATCAGCCTCTGTGAATTCATTGCTGGTTGACCTTGTAAAGCTGCAGTAAGCGCATATACCCTTCAAAGATTTGCTTATCTAGCTGGGCATCGAACTGGTGAAATCAAAGCCCAAACCCTTCAACAAAATTTTTGGTCGGTAATTTTGAATGGATATACCACCATTTATTGGTTGGCGATCCTCGTTCGTTCTTGAGAACTTCACATTTAAATAAATGTTGGTACATTCACGAGGTGTGTGTACCAACATTTCCTCCCACATTTCGTTTACTTGGACTTATTTCATGATTTACTTTGCATTTTGTTATTTCACTACGATGGCAACTTTTTAATAGTGTCTGTGATTATTAACTGCCCACCACGTAATAGAACCATGGTAGCTCAGATAGTTAGTGGTCGCTGTAAATTTCACAGTACGCGAGCAAACCGGGTTCAATCCCCGCCAGCACTAATGAAATTGTTAATTGCAATTTTAAATACTGATTTACTACGTGCTCGGCGGTGAAGAAAACAGCGTGAGGAAACCTGCATGTCTGAGAAATAAGAAAAAAATTCTAATACATGTGAAGTTCACCGATACGTAACAAATTGGGGCAGCGCGGCGGACACTTCCTTGCCCTAAAGCCCTCTCAGAAATGAGGGGAGGCCTGTGCCCAGCAGTGGGACGTATATCGGCTCTAACTTTTTTAACTTTAACGTAATAGAATCGAGTATTATGGTTTCACAAGTGTATACATGTGTCAAATCAGTGGCACGCAACTTCTAACGCGATTTATTTCCTTTATGTGAAATTTTAATTAACTGTTTGATAACGGAAAGACTTATCGCCGTCACTCGGTCATCAGTAGTGCAATTGTGTAACTCTTGTTGAAAATTAAGTTATTTAATATAGAAATATGTACATTGTTTAATCATTGATATTGACACTTTTATACAATTCAAAATATAGATGTTGCATCTAGTTGCGTATTTTATCGCATCTATTACGGGGAGTAAATAGTTCGGACTAATTCTAGCCGCTCAATTTCACCATTGCACATCCATAGCATCTGGATGATTGGCGGTGCATAACTGTGCGATTTAAAAGAAGTTTTCTTCCTAGCACAACTTCCTTATGGAATTAACTATCACCAGAATTTTTTCCGGATGACTTAGGAACCTTCAAGGAAAGTGCCTACTCTTTTTTCAAAGGCCGGCAACGCACCTGCAAGTCCCCTGGTGTTGCAGTTGTTCATGGACTTGACATCGCCACTTACCATCAGTAGGCCGCATGCTCGTTTGCCCTCTCACTAATAAAAAGAACAACAAAACCAAAAGCCAACAAACGAAACTAGCCACGGCTCACACCAGATTTAAACATTTGCCCAGTAGAGCCTCGTTTATAAGTCAAATTCAAATTTAAATTTTTTTATTCGCCATAAATAGGGTTAGTATTATGTTTTTACCTTAGCATTGTCGTATTATTTAGCCATGAGATACAGCATGCAAACTTTAACAAATTACCAAAATTAGGTGATAATAGATTCTATAGAATGTCAATTTATTAAATGTAATTCATATCATCCATAATGTCATAATTTACAAGTCGGCACAGTGCACTTGGTTTATTTCTTATATATTTATCCAACTCACACGTGACCACAGTTATGGTTTCAAACAGAGGAATAGTTGTAATATCTCTCGACTCAAACGCTTTGCATTTCTTTAACATATCGGTTTCAAAAAATCATGACATTCTCTTATTCATTTCTTCATCAACTTCGTTCAACAGTTCCAAAGCTAAAAACTTTTACATGCATCTCTCTGTACAAAATTCAACACAGTTATTTGATTTCATTCAATCAAGACGACGGCAAGAGACGATATGAATGCCCATGCCATGCTTATTATAAGTCAGTGATTCCAGGTTATATCAAAGACAATGTACATTTTTTCCAATAATCCTTGACAAGTTAAGTAATGTGTAAGTCTATTTAATGCCTTAATGAGCAGAGACGAGCCCTTCTAAACCTATAACGATTGTTACTCGTCCTTGCAGTGCGTTCGTGTTTAGTTGAGATACGTAAATCAACGGCAGTTAAGTATGGAAATCCGATTGTAACATGGTATTGTGCATATGTATACAAAGAAACAAATATTAAAAAATATAAATAAAAATTATTTCGATTTTTTTTTAATTTATAATACTGGTAGATATCATCAAATTTATCATCGGCAGCCTTCATCGATGTAGGGTGGATTTCATAATCAAAGTGGTCATAAAAGGGAGTCAAAGTGTCAGTGGTCATAATCAAAGTGTCAGTGGTCATAATCAAAGTGTCAGTGGTCATAATCAACGGTGCCGAACGTCTGATACACAGTATCAGTTCCTTGTCAGTTTAGGCATTTATAGTTAGGAGGGATATAAGAGTATAGGGAGATATAAAAATGATGAATGTTAGGAATAATATGCATAATAAGAAAGAAGTGAGTAATGTGACGACGGCTAATAGAGGAAAATGGAAGAGCAAAATCTCCAATATGTAGCATTAAAAAGTAAGATACTTAGGAGGTTATTGTGTATCAGTTTTATATTATGCCATGCACCCGAGTCTTTAATATTTTGGATCTGGACTCAAGATGAGTTGACACAATTTGTTACAAGACGCCTATAGTATATATAAATAAACATATAGTAGTATAGTATAAATAACCATATTAATGGAATTAAGATGCGTCACCTGCATGACTTCTGCATGACCTCGGCGCGGTTGTAGCCGCTCATCTTGCAGAAGGTTTCGTTGCAGTACACGATGGGGTAGTCCACGATCTGTGCATTGGCCAGCAGGAAGCTGCTGTCTGCTGTTGAACAAACGACGATCAGCCATGTTCAGTTTTAAAATCAGTTAATTTAGCCCAAAAAAGTAAACTTAAAAAAAAGTTTTACGAAACAGGGTGATAGACGAAAAACGTTTCAAGGTCGTGACAGCCACACACAGATACACATACAGATATATATATGAGAATTTATAAAGAAAAAGGCTAGTCTGTACACTTCGTCCGTATGTAGAGCCAGCTCTACATCGTCCTCTCATTCATGTAGGTGTCCCGCTAGGGTCAGAATTTTATTGGTATAACCTGCGTAAAGGATCGGCGATAGACAACTACTCTGTGGTACGTCGGCTATTATAGATTTCACTGCGGACTCAGCATTTATAAAAAAACGTAGAACTTCCTTTCCGCTAGGAGCGACGGAGATGACCTACCCTAACGGATTTTTAGGCAATAAATAATCGTACCGCTTAGAGACCCTTGCCATTACCGTAACCGTTAGTCTACTTCTGAACACAAGCCTTTCCCATAGATTGCCTCAAAGGGGGATATTTGCCACAGTTGCCACGCTTAACAGGCGCGTTACCAACCGCAGTTCCTTATTTTTATTTGTTATCAGGAAGATGCTGCTGCCCATCTCCTGATTAGTTTCTCTGTCGCCTCTTAAGATACGAGAGTTCTGAATTACAGCTATAAAGATATGTTTACACTCATAATACAATTGAACCGCCTAATAGTCGCACGTGTGACTGCTGGTCATGTGGTCGTGGATTCAAATGTCGGGTCAGGCTGAAACTATTTATTGGGCTTATCTGTAAAAATACTAATGTCTAATATTCCCAAAATTAAATTTAAATTTTGTTTTTATGGGTCTTAAAATGTCGATAATTTGCTATTACACGGTATTCCGAGCGTCTTATAAATTATAAATTATTAAAGATTTGTATTATATAATTATTAAATATTTATAAGTTATAATCTTAGTATCTGTACAATGTATTTATGGATTATATCGTGCAGCCATTGGTTAACAATCAGCTCCATAATAGAATATTTTCAATACTTACGCTGAATAGCAGTTTTATCAACATAACATATGATTCTCTTTATTTATTTATAAGATACATGCCTACAAGCTAACAGATGATAGCATCCAACACACTTGCAACATTAGATACATTAAGTTAAAATTGTCTATTTTAAGTTATAATTAATTTTACCAAATAAATCACATTAAATTAAAATTAAAATAAAAAAATTAAGTTGAAATAATTGCAGAACAAATAAAATAATAAAAAATATAAAACGAAAATAATCAAATTAATAAAACGAAAATAGTCAAATTAATTAAACAAAAAAAGACCAAAATAGTCAAACAAAATAGTATCATCATTAGAATAGTAGTTATATTAATCAATGTCAAGAATAAAAATTTATAAAATGTCAATTACAATATTTCTTAATTTACTTATAAGTGTACTCAATCCATCAGCAAATAAGTCAAGATCATCGTACTGAGCAAGTATGTCACCAATCATTCGTAATGCGCGGATAGTAGGCGCGTGCTCGCCGCGCCTGGTGCGCGCGACAGGGCACGCTAACAAACGAGGCCGGCGGCGCGGTGCTAGCTGCAGACTCCTGTCGTATATTACGGGGAACTAAGATGTGTACACTCTTGAGATAATGTGTCAGCATTAACATAACCCTCCTAAATTTTAAAGTTTCCATACCAACCATGCCTGATACGAATAAAGAAGGGTACAGGTGAGGATAGTACCCGTATTTCTTCCGAAAGCACCAACGGGCAAACTTACGCTGTATCTTCTCGACCACAAGGACATACTCAAACGGGTCCCAGACAACAGCACCATATTCCAGCTTGCTACGAACAAATGCGTTAAACATTATTTTAGCAACTACTTCATTGTCAAATTGTGTTCCAGTCCTAATAACAAAACCTAACATTCTATGTGCGTTCTTACAGATACTTGTCATGTGAAGATGAAAGTCCAATTTGGAATCTAATAACAGCCCTAAGTCTCGAATATTATTTACTCTTTCCAGAGGAGCGTCAAGTAAGCTATATACATTTACAATTGGTCTAGGTTTTCGAGTGAAAGTAATTACTTTGCATTTATTATTATTTAATGGTAATATATTTTCTTGGCTCCAAGTCAACACCGCATCAATGTCTCTTTGTAAATTTATGGTATCTGATTCAGATTCAATACCCAGACTGAGTTTTAAGTCATCAGCAAAGAGGAGACATTCAGAAAAAGAAACGGTGTTAGGCAGATCATTAATAAAGAGCAGGAAGAGGGTTGGACCCAACGTACTGCCCTGACTAACACATGATCTCGTGAAGTAATCGCTGGAATTATACCCGTTCACTCGCACATACTGACATCGATTATTCAGAAAGCATGCGAAAAACCGAATGAGTTTGGAGGTGAAGCCAATAAATGCCAAGTTTTCTAACAATTCGAAGAGGTCGAAGGCCTTCCTGAAATCGAAGTATGCCGCGCACTTGTTTGTAACTGTCCATCTCCTTATATATATAGTCTACATGTGCAATTAAGTTCGTAGTAGTAGAACGAGCCTTACGGAAACCGTGTTGGCTATTGTGTAACAAATGACCAACCTGATTATTAATATGTTTGCTGAGAATAGACTCAAATATTTTGGCAACAACTGATAAGACAGCAATTGGCCTAAATTCTGATACGTTCATACTCCCATCAACTTTCGGCACTGGAATAACCCTGGAACGTTTCCAAATTTGAGGGTACCTAGCATTAGCTAGTGAAAGGTTAAAAAAAATGCAAGAGAGGCCCCTCCAGTACAGCTATACGAGGGCGGCACTGAAAATTTCGGGAATCAAGGAAATGACACATTACTATTTAAAAATGTATTTATTGCTTTTCGAAGTATTCTCCGCGAAATTTGACACATTTTTCCATACGATGGAACCAATCATTAAAGCAATCATTCCATTCGGAAGTTGAGGTCTCCAAAATGGCCGTTTTGTAGGCGTCCACAGCTTCTTCAGGTGATGAAAATCTCTGTCCACGCAATTTATTCTTTATTTTAGGAAAGTATAGAAATCATTAAGGCTTAGGTCGGGGCTGTACGGCGGATGGTCTAATAATTCTATGTTTTCTTGCTCTAAAAACTCGTTTGTTCTGTGTGCGGTGTGAGAACTCGCATTATCGTGATGGAGGATGATGCGGCGGTTGCAGTTCTCTTTACGGAGTTCAGAAACGACCTGTGGCAAACAAATGCTAGCATACCATTCTGCATTAGCCGTTCTTTGTCTCTCAAGAGGAATAGTCGTAACATGGCCGGTTTTGGAGACAAACGTGGCCACCATTTTTTTTTGCAACACTCCGTGAACGATCAATTTTTGTTGGCTTTAACTCATTTTTGAACACTCAAGCTCGTGACTGGTTTTTGTTTCGGGTTCGTACGCGTATATCCAGGATTCGTCACCTGATACGATGTTGTATACAGCATTTGAGGATCCTGCGTGGAATATTTCGAGAGTTCTGACGCACCAAGTAACGCGAGCCGCTTTTTGCTCTTCACAGAGCGAATGCGGCATCCATCGGGAAAACAACTTTTTTACACCTAATTGTTCATGCAAGCTTATTTGTATTTGACTCATGCCAATGTCTAAAGTTGCTTGGATTTCGCGGTATGTCACATGTCGATCTTCCTTAATCAGCTTACGCATAGCATCAACGTTTTCTTGGGTGACTGCAGTTTTTGAACGACCTTGACGGGGATCATCACTGAGCTTGACACGTCCACGTTGAAATTCAGGAAACCAGCGATAAATTGTGGTTTTGGATGCCTGAACTGGGGCTTCATCACCAAATGCAGAAATCATCCGGTCAACATACTGTTTTTGTGTTAAACCACTTTGAAAGTCATAATAAATCATCAATCTTGAATTTTCTCGAGTCAATTCCATTTTCTCAACGACTAAACAAGTTTGACAAAATCTTGTGACAAGACCGAGAATCTTTTTTTAAATAAATAAATGGTATTTGATTTTTAAAACCAAGGAGTATTCAGTTAAAAAGATTTTAATATGACAGGAACAGTGGAAATATTCCATTCCCGATACTTTTAGTGCAGCCTATGTACAATCTTTAGCCAAGAAACTAGGAATGTCATCAGGTCCACTGGATGAACGCGGTTTGAGACGTTTCACAGCTTCCTTCAAATCCCTCGTATCGACGGCGTTTATAGATACGGACGTAATGTCCTGGTTAGAATTAGAGTTATAACATAACATAAACACTCACGCCTGTCACCCAGAGGGGTAGGCAGAGACTACAGACTTCCATTTAGCACGATCGTGACATACCTCTCTCGCCTCCTTCACATCCGTATACCTACGCATACATGCTCGTCGCTTAAGGGTACTATTATTTTGGCCCATTTTTAATATGTCGCCAATTTGGTCGACATACTTTCACCTAAGACGTCCCTTTACGACTTTTCCATTCACTTCTGCAACACATATTTGCTTTGTCAGTCTTTCCTCATTCATTTTTTCTACATGACCAAACCACCGAAGCATTCCTTTCTTAATCTTAGTCACCGCACCATCTTGCAAACCACACTCTTCTTTTATCACACAGTTTCTAACCCTGTCACTTAGATTCAGCCCTAACATACTCCTTAGCGACCGCATTTCTATTCCAGAAGACAGAACGTATTGGGTGGCGAACCTCGTCGCCGGTTTTCTTCCCAGAGATTCTTCGCACCCATGCCCCAAAAGGGCGCCGGGAACTCGGGGCCATACGAAACACAGCAGTGTACGTAATATAGTTCATATGAAACCCTTAAGATGAAAAACCTTGTGTTATGAACAGTCTTGGATAAATTTTATTTGGGTTTAATATGATCTTCTAACTAAACCAAATCTTTTTCTTTTTTTTTTACCTATTGATAACAATTTAATTTTGTTCACTAGCACAATATAAACACGCAACGCATGCAAAATGGCGATTTTCTGTCACTTACACAGATTTAAGCTGTACTGTGGCTGTTATTTTTTTTAGTTTTGTGTGACTCTCATAGGCGGAAGTCATAAAACTACTGTATTCAGGTGAGCCGCATACTCGTTAGCGCCCTCTCTTATAAACAAAATTAAAAGTGTACAATAATGCACTAAAATAAGTTTTAGAAGGGGCTTTGCATACACCGTTGTTCAGAAATAAGGTTTTAGTGATATTATATATATATATAATAACTTAAAGCTATATAAGAAAGGAACAATATACAAAAAAACGGCTTTTATACAGCTTTAGTGTTAAAATCGTAGCGTAAATTAGCAGCATAACACTGCTATGTTTCCTAAGGTGAGTGTAAAGAACCGGAGACCTGAAAAAGAATTTACTGAACAAGAGGCATTCCATCTTAGTCCTCACGGGTGACAACGCATTTGCATATTGATTATTTATTGAGGATAGATGTAGATGTCTATGGGTCACAGCAACCACTTACCATCAGGTGGACTGTGTGCTCGTTTGTCACTCTATCTTATAAAAAACAGATTGAAGTGTTACAAAATACTTTAAGATTAGTTAAGGTTTGATTGAGAACTCTAAGCTTACTTAGGTCCCATAATACAGACATAATACAGCTTGAGCTGTATAATAACTAATAAACCACCCTTATAAGGATACAACCTCCTTTTAACACTATTATACGCTTCTAAAAGAACTCTAAATTCTATGTGGGCTGGTATGTTGATGTTTATAAATTAATAAATCAATAAAAATATACCACTTAAACTTTTATGACTACAAAAAAACTCTCACACAATGGTTAAAATCACTCAGCTACGCTGACGCAGAAAACTTACTAGAAAATATTACTTGACAGTGGACTCTCAAAATGGCATCAATAAAGCCCTTTTGAGCCTTTATCATTTTATTGACCGATGAAGAGCTATCATCTCACAAAGCCATCTATTCAAACAACCATATTACCCTTACGTACGATGTATGTTTGTGAAGCCAATTATTTATTTTGTGGTGAAGCTAAAAAGTTTTCACTTCTGACAGTTTTGTTTAATTTAAAGATGTAATAATTTATCAATCGTTGGTAATCCTAATAGATAAATAAAAACGTGTAAGTATACTAACGCTGCGATGAGGAGCGGCGGATGATGTTCTCGAGGAAGGTGTTCTGCGGGGCCACGAGCCCCCGACGGCCGCCCGGCATGCCGCCGTCGCCTCACATGCCTCGCGCCGAGCGCCTCCGAGCGCCGAGCGCCGAATACCGAAGGTCGAGCACCGAGCGCCAAACGTCCAGCGCCGAAAGATTACGCTGCGTCCTCCCGCAGAGCTTTGAGCGCAGAAGGACGCAGAAGGCCACCAAAGCGTACTTTTCTGTCGAACACCGCCGCGTAGGTTTGAGCCTGACAGCGCTTTGTGTTCCTTGCACGCTTCGGTTTCCTGCATAAAAATAAAGAATACTATAATAATAGATATATTAGTTGAGTACTTTAATAATAGTTCAAAATATTTATATCTAAAAAAAACAATGGTTTAACAGTACAATGCTTTTACATAGTAAACGTAAAGACATTTTGTGTACTACCCACGAAGTTTGATGACTTTAAGTATGAAAAGTTCTGAGCTCAGTATACCAAACAAATCACTCCGACTATTTGATCGGTTTTCTTTGGTGATATAAAATTCCTTTATGTATAAGTAAGTAAATTTAATGCGCAATTATCTTCCAATATAAAAAAAAACTTATTTTGCGAGTTATATCGCGTTTTTATTTTTTGTTTTTAGTTCTTGACACCCGAAAGGGCACCGCAGCACCACACTTTTAATTAAAAATACATAAACACTCACGCCTGTCACCCAGAGGGGTAGGCAGAGACTACAGACTTCCATTTGGCACGATCCGGACATACCTCCCTCGCCTCCTTTACATCCATATTTCTACGCATATACGCTCGTCGGTTAAGGGTACTTCTAATGTGGCCGACTTTCAAAATATCGCCCATTTGGTCTATATAATTTCGTCTAGAGCGTCCCTTCCCGACTCTGCCGTTGATATCTGTCGTTTAAATTTGCTTTGTCACTCTTTTCTCATTCATTCTTTCTTACATGAAACGTCGTCACTCGGAATACATTCATTTTCGCCTCGTATAGCATTCATTAATTAGATACTAAGAGTCTGATTGAAACAAATGCCAAATTGCAGAGTACTATAAAATATCTTGAGACACGCATGAACAACCTTGAGCAGAACGCCCGCAGCAGCAACGTCGAAATTCAATGCTTGCCAGAGAAGAAGTCAGAAAATCTTTTCACGGTGTTCAACAACATTTGCAGTATAGTAAAGTGTGACATCAAAACTGAACAGATAAATCGAATAACAAGAATTGCCAAACTCAACCCGAATAATGATCGTCCTCGTTCGGTGATAGTTGAATTTAATAACACTAGAGTACGAGATAGCTTCTTAGCAGCCACAATCAAATTTAATAAAGCTAACCCGGATAACAAGTTGAACTCTAGTCACCTTGGTTTTAATGGTCCTAAGACTCCGGTATACGTAACAGAGCACTTGTCAGCTGCAAATAAGGAATTGCATTCGGCGGCGAGGAAGACTGCAAAGGAAAAAGGGTTTAAATTTGTTTGGGTGAGAGGTGGACGTATATTTCTAAGAAAAAGTGAAAATTCAGGCTTTATTCAAATTAAAAATTTTGATTCATTATCAAAACTAGAGTAATTCGCTAATTGTTTCTATTAGTTAATATAAAGTTAAAATATAATGTCATCTGCTTATATTAATTCGCTTGTAATTTATTACCAGAATGTTAGAGGTCTTAGGACCAAAACACAAACATTTAATCGTAAGTTAGCAACTAGTGACTATGATGTAATAGTCTTAACAGAGACGTGGTTAAACAGCAGCGTATTGAGCTCCGAACTATTTGATAACCGTTACACAGTATTCAGAAGGGATAGAGAAACGTCAGGATTTCATGGTGGCAAGGATGGAGGTGGGGTTCTGGTTGCGGTCAAAAAAAGCTTATCTTCTGACTGTATAAATGAATGGAATAGTGCATGTGAAGATCTTTGGATTGTGATAAATCTGCCTTTTTCAGTAGTTAAAAAGATCGCACTTTGCGCCGTTTACCTCCCAACACCAATTCAACGTAGCATGTTAGAACATTTTGTTAACAACTGTAATGCGGTTCTTGAGAATTTTGACGGACATCTATGTATTATTGGCGACTTTAATATGAGTAATATAGATTGGACGCAGGTTAATCACAATTCAAGCTACTGCACCACCAGTCTTTGTCAAACATTAATAGATTTTACTTTTGTTAATAATCTAAAACAAATTAACTGTATAATTAACGCTAGATATAAAATATTGGATCTAGTTCTTACAGATATTGATAACTGTACTGTGTCTTCTGCTTATGATGTTTTATCCAACATCGATCCACAACATCCACCTATATGCACTTATATCGCATCTGATGAAACAGAAAAACTAACGCCTAATATGAGTGTTCTTAAGTTAAATTTTTATAAGGCTGATTATGAGGCAATAAATAAGTATCTTTTTAGTTTGGATTGGGACTCAATCTTCTCCCTATGCAATGACGTGAATAGGATGTTAGAAATATTCTATGATACTATAAATGAAGTCATTAAAAAATTTGTTCCAATTAAAAATGTTAATTGCCTTAAACGTCACCCCCCATGGTTTAATAAAGTGCTGATTGCAAGACTAAAGGAAAAAAATAAACTTCGGCTTAAGTATAAAAAATATAGTAACCCTTTAGACGAAATTGAACTACAAATTTTAAGTCAAAGATGCGCTAAGTTAGCTAAAGAGTGTTATAATAATTATATTGTTAACATAGAGAAAACGATTAGGCAAAATTCAAAATACTTTTGGTCATTTATCAAAAGCAAACGTGGAGGGTCTAGTGCCTATCCCAGGTCTGTCACAGATGGTATCACTATAGCAAACAATGGCCAAAGCATTTGTGAATTGTTTGCTGCAACTTATTCAAGGGTCTATGGTGATAATCCAAAAGAAGGACCCCATTCTGAAGTTGAAAGTCTTAGAATCATTGATAATGGGAGTTCATGTTTTTCCAGTCTTACCGTCGATCTCAATGTTATTGTTAATAAACTCAAAACTTTAGATATTACCAAAGGTACTGGTGCCGATGGATTAGCGCCAATATTTCTTAAAAATTGTACTGATAGTTTAGCTTTTCCTTTGTGTAAAATTATAAATGAGTCATTTATTACTGGAGTGTTTCCAGATCTGTGGAAGCTTGCAAAGGTAGTACCAGTCTTTAAATCAGGTGATATTGGTATTGTTTCGAATTATCGGCCAATCTCGATACTTTCTACATTAGCCAAGCTTCTTGAATCAATCGTTTGTCCTCATATTCAAACCTATTTCCGACAATTTATGACTGACTCTCAGCACGGTTTCGTGAAAAATAGATCAACTTTAACTAATCTTGTAACTTTTGTCGAAGATCTTGTAGATGCCATTGACAATAGAAATCAAGTTGATGTTATCTATACCGATTTTAGCAAGGCATTCGACAAAGTTTCACATTCAATTTTGCTAAGAAAATTAAGCTCCTATGGATTCACAGGAAAGATTTGGGATTGGTTTAAGTCCTACTTAAGTAACCGTTCCTTCTACGTAGTCTTGGATGGGTTTAACTCTGATACTTACGATATAACATCTGGTGTGCCGCAAGGATCACATCTTGGGCCCATACTTTTTAACATCTTTATTAACGATATAACTGATAGTTTTATTTACTCTAAACCTTATCTTTATGCAGACGATTTAAAGATTTCTCGTAAAATTGTTGATGATTCCGATGTAGTACTATTGCAATCTGATTTAAATAGGCTGTCACACTGGTGTAAAAATAACTCAATGAACCTAAATGTAAATAAATGTTTTCATATTAAATTTTGTCGAAACCGTAACTTTATAAGCTCGCATTATATAATAGATGATTCTACTTTAAGTGAAGTAGATACTGTTTTAGACTTAGGGGTAGTGTTTGACCGCAAATTGACATTTATTCCACATTATGATCATATTGTCAAGAAAGCATCGAAAATGTTAGGATTTATTATTAGAAACGGTAAAATTTTTCGCAGTTATCAAACAAAAAAAATATTATATAATGCCTTTATTCGTAGCACTCTTGAGTATTGTAGCGTAGTATGGAGACCGCACTATGCTACCCATTATCTGCGGCTAGAAAGGATACAGAAGAGATTTCTTTGGCACCTGGCGTACTCTTCTGGAATGGGACGAAGGGGCTTCTCTTACTCTTACTCCCACAGGCTAAAACATTTTAACATGGACTCTCTTGAAAAACGCAGAGCTATTATCGACCTAACTTTTATTTTCAAAATTTTAAGAAGTCAAATAGACTGTCCCCAACTTCTAAGTTACATTAAATTTAGGGTGCCCAGGACACTTCCGCGAGCTCCCATTCTTCCACTTGCCCCACCATTTCGTAGGACTGTGCTTGGTAACAACTCTCCTGTAGCTAGGTTAAGTAAACTTTATAATGGGATCAGTAGCCGGACAGATATAAATTTTGTTTCCTCGTACAAGTTTCGCAAGTACTTGTTAGACACAATTTCAAATTAAGTTATTTTTATTTTGTATGTTTACTACACATAATGTCTAAATCACTGGTTGTTTTGTTGTTCTGTTTTAAAATGTTTTAATTAATTTTTTTTTCTTAACATAATATGTAAATTAACACTTTAATTATGGTTTAGCGGTGTTTACCTGTAAGTAATTGTGCAATTAGTATAAGACTTTATCATACATTTAGATTTAGTATGTTAAATTGTAACAATTGTAGGTAGACCTTTTTTTTTAAATAAATAAAATAAATAAATTAAAGGCTGTTTTGAATTTCTCTTGAAAGTTCTTACGACTTTCCAGAACATTTTAATATTTGACTGGAAGTTATCTGATATTCTTCTATCATTCTTATCCGTTCTTTTTTACTTTTTACTTTCAACTACTTCTTTTAATCTCTTATTTAGACGTCTAAATTCTGCCTTTTTTTCTTTCAATCTCATCGTTCATACAGCCAGAATTACCAGCTTTGGTTGGTAGTAAATCTAACCATGCTCTCTTCTTTGCTTCAACTTCCACCCGTACCTCAGCATCCCACCAAAACGTATTATTTTTCCTTTTATTTGTTCTCTTACTTATACCACATACTTCGGTGGCTGTATCCACGAAACCTTTCTTAAGTTATCCCACACAGTATTCAAGTCTAAATCATTCATACACAACTCATACACACCTAATATTTACCCTCAGTCTACATTTATACTTCTCTTTCACATCTCCATCTTGCAACTTCTCTATTTTTATACGCTGTAACGCAGTGGTAGATACAGATGTCCGATGTCGCCAACACTTGAACAGACCATTAATCCGACATAGCACCAAGTAATATCCGTCCCTACGTTGGACCCCCGGTAAACCCTTGTATCTACTAATACGCTCCTCATTCTTTCATCCACAATTACGAAATCTATCATCACATCTTTCCCATGTATACATGTGAATCTTCTTATGACGAAAAAAAGTGTTCGTCACAAAAATATTCTTTTCCACACATACGGTGGGGAGGTCTTTACCATTCTCATTTATACTTTCATCACCAAGCGTTCCCAATATAATTTTATTACTAGACCTCTTCACCACAACCCTTTTATTAAAGTCTTCTAACATAATAATATTTTCGTTTTCCTTACATTTTATCAACACCATCCTTACCATGTCCCAAAATTGCTCTCGTATATAAATGGGCTTAGACATGTCTGGGGCGTATACCCCTAGCACAAACAGCTTCTTTAAGCCCACTTTCATTCGTATCCATAGCAGCCTCGAGCTTACACATTCATACTCTTTTAAACATTGACCCATTCTTTATGAAAGGATGAAACTGACTCCCTGGCAGCCCGCTCGGTCGCGTCTACACCAGACCAATACGCGGGGAATATATGCCATGTGCGGTGACATCCTTTCCCTTTCATGTCGTCTCATTTACACATAACACATCTATTCCTCTGTCATTTATCATTTCGCCTACTTTATCCATCTTATCATTCATCGCTCCACATACATTCAGTGTAACCAGACGGGCTTCCGCAATCCACTTTTCGCCCCTCCGGGAGACAGAACGTGACGGATGGCGAACATCGTTGCCGGTTTTACTCCCGGAGACTTCGCACTCCTGCCCCATTAAAGGGGCGCGGGAACTCAGGGCCATTTATTTTATTTTGGTGTATCCTAGGGGTCTTTGGTGTGTCTTCATGTTGTGAACTAGGGGGGGGGGCTAGATTTTACGCCACTACCATGCGCCGAGGAGCCGAGTCTATTTTTCTCAGCTTTGTTGGTGCTCGTTTAGCACCACCCGGGGGACACGTGTAAGGTGGGCCTAGGATTAGTTGGTCGAAGCCTACGGACGCGAGCGATTTATCCCATAGTTATATAAAAATCCCATAGTTATATAAAATATTTTTAAATTAAACGATAATCTTCCTACAAACCGAGTTATTAAACCGTCAAACCCACCATATCCTAATGGTTACATTTTACAAAATCTGTCAAAGCGCCGTAATAAGTTTTTTTGGAAAAAAAAATTACAGAAATTCTTGAAACAATTACTGTTTACGAAGAATCTACGGTTGTCTTCCACAGCAATGTTTGAGTACATTTATTCTAGCAAGGTTGAGGTTCTCTAGAATATTATCTCGTTAGCACGTGCCAAATTCTGTTTGTAGCCGGGGTTAACTATGCTATGATATGAGGATTTAACTCACAACTCAGTGCACTAGTAGCCATGGGTGCTACAAACTACGCAAAATCTGAGGAACATAATAATTACGTGGTAGAGCTATGCTGTAGCTGCAGCATAGCAATATAGTAATATATTTATAGCACGAATGGGTCGGCTCGACCGGTTAACGACCACGCTTTCACAGAATACGAGCGTAAAATAGCAGCAGCAGCTGTTGACCTTTTTTTGGTTTTTGGTTTGGTATATTGAGTGTAGAGTGTAGAGTACCAGTACCCTTTTTAAAGGGAACGAGTTATTCCGTCGTAGTTCTTAGGGGTGATAACGTATCTGAATTTTGAATCTTCGTCTAGGATAGATGTAGACGTCTATGTTATGTCTGTGGCGGCGCTGTCATAGCGCCGCAAGCGAAACACACCGAAGCTTAAATCACGGTATCAACATTCCGAATCATAAACAGCATATATAGGACATCTTCGAACTATCACACGGAGTGTGAGCCGCTCCCCGGGCAGAACACTTTGCCCGGCGGGAGATCTCCCCTTTTCCTTCCACGGCCACAGTGCTGACCCCGACGTGATCTGAACACGCAACCAACAACCTTCGGAAGCTACAACTTCAAGCCTTCGGTATTATCCTCAAGAACTCCTACCATTCACTACTGAGAATCGTCTTCTGCAGTCTTCAGTTCCTTCAAGCCAGTCCAACTTGTCTTCGTCTCGACTCACCGCAGATTTATAAGGCAGACTTCTGGCACTTGCTCCGGCACATCGTTCTCACCGGCATCACTTGCCAGTAAGTAGTACGGCATGCATTACACATCGGCATATCATTCGCACCGGTGTCACTTGCCCTTACGCACACAGCATGCATTCCCCACCGGCATTAAAGGACACACCGGCAATCGGACTGCACTATCGGCCTCCGATCTGAGCAGGGGGGTGATGTGGCGACGCTGTCATCGCGCCGCAAGCGAAACACACCGAAGCCTAAATATAGAACATCTTCAAACTATCAAACAGAGTGTTGGGCACTCCCCGGGCAGAACACCTTGCCCGGCGGGAGATCTCCCCTTTCCCTACCACGGCCATATGTAACTTACTCGTTATTCACACTTATCTTTAAAAAAATTACTTAAAATAAGTGACGTTTGTAGCACCTCTTTGACACTGACGATTGCCCGGCCACTAGCTCTTAAGCTGCCACTAAACTGCTCAACTAAACTCCCCTAGTAGAGTAGCTATGCATAAGTAAGGGGAAGACTGGCAAAAGCACCAATTTAGAACTAAGAACAAAATTGCTTTTACAGAGTACTGTGTTTAAACGAACATTGCGATGAAATGCGTAGTTATTATTTATCAAAGTTCCTTATTAGTTACGTATATATACATAATAAACGTCTTACAAAGGGCGTTGCAGCTTAGGGGCTGGGTAGGTTCGTTCGCTCGTTTAATAATTCATTGTACGCGCTCATCCCGATTCCATCGCCGCTCCGCCAGCGCCCATAGAATTGTTAATGGCAACTTTGAAGTGCTGTTTTGCACGCACCGTGAGGTGCGGGGAACAGGGGGTGGGGTGTGTATTGTTGGTAACATTCAACTACTTTTTTCGTACATTTTATTTTCCACACTTTTGTACAAGAAACTTGTTAATTTTTTGGCAACAGTGAATTAAAAACAGAAATAGAAATGTTTACACCTCTGTTTTTTTATAGGATAGGGTGACAAACAAAAACACATCTATCCTCGATTATGAATCAAAGTGCAGATGCGTTATCACTCGTGAGGACTAAAATGGAATGCCTTGTTTCCAGTAAAAAGGGTGTCCGGTTCTTTACACTCACCATACGAAACACAGTAGCATAAAGCTTCTATTTATAAGGTGGTATTTTGTGAGAATGTGGTCCTTCCCCGGTCGAGCCGACCCATTCGTGTAGTACCTTACCTCTACCAGGTATAGTATCTTAGTAAGTGTTATAGTGTTTGTAAGATACATGTTTAAACTGTTTGACCTCGATGTTAAAATAATCATTTTATCTATATTTTTGAACTCGGTGGATTACATTTGTATGATTTGTTGCTGCAGATGAGGTTTAAACAAAATTAAGAAGCGTTGTTAACCCTTCTAACTAAGTTGGAATGACTCGCGGCAGTTCAAAAGGTTCCGGTTCCCGTCTCACAACTGAAACGCAGCAACACTACAGCTGTTAAATCTGTCGTTAAGTTTCATAAATTGTACAAACAAAGAGAGACGTGAGAATTAACAGTTCGTTGTGAGCCGCGCGCTCGTTAAGCAACTGAAAGTAACTTTCCGATTTATGCAAATGATAGAACGCTCTGGAACAGCGACCTGCCAAAGCGCTTTTCTCTAAAGGCTATACTTGCCGTGTGTTTCGTGCGAAATACAGTCGAGTGAAATCTGTGATTCCACGGAATATATTATGCACCACGATAAGACATTCGTTTAGGTTAAATAAATGCAGGGAAAGTTAAATTTATAATGAGCAAGTCTTAAGGAGTGTTAAATTTATAAAAAAAGTAATTTTTTTTCCAATCTGGGGTACCTGATAAATGTAAACACTCGCTTTCAATCTCGAGCCCCGACTTCATGGCGTGCGGGTATTCATTAATATTGTACACGTGTCGGTGCTGCCGGCTAGTTTGCTGGCATGTTGTTATATTTGTTTTTCGTTGCGCACTATCGTCGCCGATTGAGACCCGGTTGTGAAGATTCTTTTTTCATTAATTAGCTTAAGTCTCAAGAGTGGTCTCATATAAATTTGAAAAAAAAAAATCACTTTTAAGTGGTGGAAAAATATCTGATGAAAATTTTAATGTAACTATTTAGGCGACATTTAGATTGATAAAAGGTAAAAACCAACTTCAAAAAACTAAAAATAATAATATATTTCTATATGTATGCTAAACCATAGCGTATAGAAATATTAAAACGCCGACGTCAGAATTCTTCAGAGAGAAACGCGGCTGCCCACCCAGCTGCCGACCGTGGCAACTGTGGCACATAGTCCCACTATGAGGCATGTGGGACTTGAGGCCAGCAGTGGAGTTCTGGTGGGCTGTATTGAATGATGAATGAATGTTTGAAACTAGTTTCACTATATACTGATATTAAGAACCCCCTGAAAATATTAATAGCAATAAAAATTCAACCTTTTCGTGAAAGTCATCTTTTACCACGTGTTGTCGCTTTCGTGTATATATATGTCTGTTCAGGTAGAATTTAGTAATTGATTTTAAACTAACTTCCCCATTAGCTGGATACTCGATATTTTGAACGCACGCTCAAAATCGGATGACAATGTGAGAATATTAAAGAAAAAACGTAATATTTTAAAAAACACCGACTTCACCAGAGGTTTGGAAAAAAACGGTCCTAGGAGGAACCAGCAACAACCCAGCGGGAGTTTTTTTAAAGTTTATTGATCAATAAGTCGTACAAATGTCTTACAAAAGTTAGGTGTAGGTTTAGAGACATTTATTCTCATAAATACATTTTATAGGCCACTTACATGAGAACATAAATAAAAGTAAATATAAATAACAAAATTCGTTGTCGTACCCATGTTGTTGAAAAAAAAAACAACATCAAAAACAGCTATCGACGGGAAAAATCTATACAAATAAAAGAAAAGTTAAATTCTGGTATTCATTATCACCTTGGCACCACAATTCTAAGACCAGGAACAAACCAATCCAACGCACTCAGATAGATATGTTTGTGATTATATGATTTGCTAGTTGCTTTTTGAATACATTGACGGAGCCTACATTTTTTTATTTCCGAGGGTAGGTACCTTATTAAAAAGGCGCGCACTTTCGCATGTAATTGTGGTCTGGCCGTACTTTGTTCGAGTCTTAGGAAAAACGATGAAGCTTGAGTGTCGAGTGCAGATGCACCCAACTTTTTTTCGCTTGGTGAATTGCAGATCCGTGCGGACCTTCTTGTTCATGGATTTGCGAATAAAGATACAGGTGTTATAAATGTACAATTGTTTGATATTTATCAGATTGGTCTCTCAGAAAATTTTTGAAGTTGACGTGAAATTTATTTCTTTCATTCCATCTTAGACTTCATACGTGACAATGCATCTGCATTGAAATAATACTAGTTTTTACGGAATTTATCGCGTATATTTTAACTTTTTAAATACCCGACGTTTCGAACGCTTTACATCACTCATGGTCACGGGCAGGACTGAGATGTTCAACGTCCATATGTCATAGTTAACCGCGGTTACCATAGATTAAAATTTAACTTTTGTTCCGATCTATGCAGTATGAACTTATGGTATCTTGAAGTCTTACAGTTGTATGCTTGGGTTGGGATTTAATTTTATTTATTATAGGATCCCAAGCAGATGGTAGCACCCAGCCATCTTCTCTATTGAAATTAGGATGTTTTTTGATTTCAATAGCCTCGCGAATCATCCTTGGAAGGAATCGGTGTTCTTTAGCGAGGATCTGCGGTCTATCAAATCTGATGTAGTGACGGGGGCGATCCTGTACGTGTTCACAGACTGCAGACTTCCCGGAGCGTCGATTCTTCACATCAGCTATATGTTCTTTAACGCGGGTTTTTATTGATCTTTTAGTTTGTCCTATGTAGGAGAGACCACATTCACAATCAAGCTTGTACACTCCTGCATCTTGCAGAGGGACATTACACTTGACCGATGGTAAGAACTGACCAATCTTCTTCAGCGGCTTGAAGTATGTTTTGATGGAAGCGCGCTTCAAGATGTAGCCAATCTTGTCAGTAACTCCTCTAACATATGGCAGTACAGCAGGTACACGCTCGACTGTGGCCGGCTTCACTCGTTCACTGTGACGTAGGCGCGGGACTCGAAGCTTGTTGTCATGCAAAACTTGCTTGACATGGTGGAGCTCTGCAGCCAGGTGTTTACTGTCACAGATCCCTCGTGCTCTCTGAAACAAAGATTTACCCACGGTAGCTAACTGTGAAGGATGGTGGTGAGAATCACCGTTTAAATATCTATCTGTATGGGTCTTTTTTCTATACACAGTATGGCTCAAGGTGTTATCAGGATTTCGAATTACTAACACATCTAGAAAAACTAAGGAATTGTTTGCCTCTAACTCCATTGTGAACTGAATTTTAGAATTTATAGAGTTAAGATGGTCTAAAAATGCAGTTACTTTATCTAAAGGTAGAATTGTGAAAGTGTCGTCTACGTACCGCTTGTAGAACCTTGGATTTATGGGAGAACTAAGCAGGGCTTTCTCCTCAAAGTCTTCCATGAATATGTCGGCGACAATGGGAGATACAGGTGAGCCCATCGCCACACCATCTACTTGCTTGTAGAACTCCTCCTTCCACAATAGGTAGCCAGATGTAAGGCAGTGTCTGAGTAATACTGCATATTCTACGGGCATGTTGTTTTCTTCCAGCCTTCTAGTTACAATTGAGATGCAGTCTTCAACAGGTAAGCATTGATAGTAATAATTTAACTCTTAGAAAATTTTGGAATTTAAATTATTTTAAAATGGATAATACCTACGTGCGCCAAATCAACAAAATTTTATGGGTTACCAAAAATACACAAGCCCAATGCTCCATTACGTCCCATAGTGAGCCAAATCGATTCACCAACTTACAGATTGGCTCAACACTTAGCGAAAATACTCTCACCACTCAGGGGACATACAAGAGCACACATAAAGGATTCCTACCATTTTGTCAGCGAGATTAAAGACCTACATCTGGCAGACAATGAAACTATGGTCAGTTTTGATGTGCAGTCATTGTTTACATGCTTACCTGTTGAAGACTGCATCTCAATTGTAACTAGAAGGCTGGAAGAAAACAACATGCCCGTAGAATATGCAGTATTACTCAGACACTGCCTTACATCTGGCTACCTATTGTGGAAGGAGGAGTTCTACAAGCAAGTAGATGGTGTGGCGATGGGCTCACCTGTATCTCCCATTGTCGCCGACATATTCATGGAAGACTTTGAGGAGAAAGCCCTGCTTAGTTCTCCCATAAATCCAAGGTTCTACAAGCGGTACGTAGACGACACTTTCACAATTCTACCTTTAGATAAAGTAACTGCATTTTTAGACCATCTTAACTCTATAAATTCTAAAATTCAGTTCACAATGGAGTTAGAGGCAAACAATTCCTTAGTTTTTCTAGATGTGTTAGTAATTCGGAATCCTGATAACACCTTGAGCCATACTGTGTATAGAAAAAAGACCCATACAGATAGATATTTAAACGGTGATTCTCACCACCATCCTTCACAGTTAGCTACCGTGGGTAAATCTTTGTTTCAGAGAGCACGAGGGATCTGTGACAGTAAACACCTGGCTGCAGAGCTCCACCATGTCAAGCAAGTTTTGCATGACAACAAGCTTCGAGTCCCGCGCCTACGTCACAGTGAACGAGTGAAGCCGGCCACAGTCGAGCGTGTACCTGCTGTACTGCCATATGTTAGAGGAGTCACTGACAAGATTGGCTACATCTTGAAGCGCGCTTCCATCAAAACATACTTCAAGCCGCTGAAGAAGATTGGTCAGTTTTTACCATCGGTCAAGTGTAATGTCCCTCTGCAAGATGCAGGAGTGTACAAGCTTGATTGTGAATGTGGTCTCTCCTACATAGGACAAACTAAAAGATCAATAAAAACCCGCGTTAAAGAACATATAGCTGATGTGAAGAATCGACGCTCCGGGAAGTCTGCAGTCTGTGAACACGTACAGGATCGCCCCCGTCACTACATCAGATTTGATAGACCGCAGATCCTCGCTAAAGAACACCGATTCCTTCCAAGGATGATTCGCGAGGCTATTGAAATCAAAAAACATCCTAATTTCAATAGAGAAGATGGCTGGGTGCTACCATCTGCTTGGGATCCTATAATAAATAAAATTAAATCCCAACCCAAGCATACAACTGTAAGACTTCAAGATACCATAAGTTCATACTGCATAGATCGGAACAAAAGTTAAATTTTAATCTATGGTAACCGCGGTTAACTATGACATATGGACGTTGAACATCTCAGTCCTGCCCGTGACCATGAGTGCTGTAAAGCGTTCGAAACGTCGGGTATTTAAAAAGTTAAAATATACGCGATAAATTCCGTAAAAACTAGTATTATTTCAATGTGTAGTGTTCGCGTAAATATAAGAAATCATAATGCATCTGCATTTTGATTCCTAATCGAGAATAAATGTAGGTGTACTATGGGTCACAGTATTCACTTATCATCAGGCTGACTGTGTGTTCATTTCCCCCCCCCCCCCCCATCTTTCTATAAAAATATAAAAAAACTCTTGTGGACAGCTTAGTGCAGCCGCTTCTGTGGAGGCTTTTAAATATAACGTCGCCAAAAATATCTCCGGTGCACAATTTTTTTAATTACTCCCACGTTGCACTTAAGACGGCTGCTTCTCGCTTCCGAAATAGCCTCCAGCGCGTCAGAAGTATCTTTTCACATGCAATTTACTCTACACTTCTCAAATTTTGATTCGTCACAAATCTCGCTCTAACTAGGGTGCAGCCTGTTTATTTGCATTAAAATGTTTTCACATCATGATTGCTTTGTTATTGAGGCATCTTAAAATGATTAATATTTGGTTTCAGAAATAAGTAAATGATCTACAAATTGATACCGTTCCCTTCTTCATTTAAAAATCTTGGTCCCCATGTTAATAATACTCTGACCTGAGGGGTTTATATCTTTGAAACACGTCGTAAATTTCAGGTGTTTTACGTTCTCTTTACCGCTTGAAAAATTTTCTTTCCTTTAAAATTAAAATAATGCTTGTACAGTTATTTATACAGACGTGTGTTACTCGGATTTAAACCAAAATTTTCTTAACAAGCTAGAGCACCATATATCAACCAACATATGATCATATCTCTTTCTATCGTCTCGCCTTATCTATATATATATATATATATATATATATATATATATATATATATATATATATATATATATATAAATATATATGTGTGTGTGTGTGTGTGTGTGTGTGTGTGTGTGTGGGATGGAACGCAGCGTAATGAAGTGATCTGGAAGGACCGGAGCGAATGACGAATGAGTAAAAGAATGATTGTGAGTGAGTAAGTGAGAATGATAAAAAAGCAAGATGGAGGAAAGGACGCTTGTAAAGACGCGCACGCAAAAATTAATTAAATTTAAATAAAGAGTGTTTTCAAGATATTTCTGGTTTTACTGCACGGTCAACGCTACATTTTTGGGGGCTGGTCCGGGATCTGTGCAGTAAAATACCTCAGAAGACAGTGTACGAGTTTTAGGCGAAATATCCGGCGGCTGGCGGCACGTGGTGGCAGCAGCACGCGGCAGTGGCAAAGACGGGACGGCATTTTGGTGAAGTTATTACAAGAAGACAAAACAAAGACGAGTACCTACACCAAGATGAGCAAAGACGGAAAAGAGCGCAGGAAAAGTCGCCAGGATGATTTCGAAGATAGCGTCGGCGCACGAGCTTACTTTCGCGGCAGCTACAAATGACTTCGGAGCTCATACCAAGCTACTCAGGACAAGACGGTACATTCACAGCGGCACGATGGGCGCAGGAAATCGAAGATAATGCTGAAATATTCGGCTGGACTCCACTACAGCAATTATTAGTGGCGAGGCGCTCGTTGACCGGCACGGCAGCGCTTTGGCTCCGTGCGGAACGACCGTTTAAGTCGTGGGATGACCTAAAAGCTGCAGTATTGAAAGAATTTCCTTATTCTGTCGACATCAAAACCATATACGAAACGATGACCACACGCCAGAAGAAAGACAATGAAAGCTGTTTGGATTATATTCTGACTATGAAGGAGTTGGGAAAGAGAGGGAAAATGCCAGATTACGTGGCAATCAAATATATTGTCGATGGGATACGTGATCTGGAGACAAATAAGATAATGCTATATGATGTAACTACGTACGCAGAATTAAAAGAAAAGCTACGTATTTACGAAACTGTAAGGAGTAAAATGGAACAACGTCGTCGATCGGAGGCGTGCAGTCCCAGACAAAAAACATCTGAATATAATCGCTGTTTTAGCTGTGGCGAGATGAATCATACGTCTGCATTTTGCCCATATAAAGAAAAGGGATTAAAGTGTTTTAAATGCAACCAGTTCGGCCATATTATTACGTCATGCCCGATGCATCATTCAATCATTCAAGTTGAAAACGAAACAACAACGCCCGAACATAGACGAAGCGGCGGAAGCCGACTTCATTCGGCAACTTTCGGCAAAACTCGTTATCCGGCGGCGGTACCCGAGAAAGAACGAAGGCAGCAGCAAAGTGACAACATGAAGTTGAAGCGCATTATGTTCGGACTCATGGCTGTTAGACGGGAGATGAGGCTGCAATCGTTAACAGATTTGACAGCATACAGGCAACTGAACAGACAGATCTCCAAATGCATGCGGCAAGACTTACGAACCTTTAATACTGCTCGTATTAAAGAAGCCATCGAGCGGAACCAGGGCTCCAAAGTCTTTGCCAGAGATCTGTCTACCAGAAAGAGCCAACTGTCAAAGCTGTAGACTGAGTGTGGCAGCATCGTTACCGGGACATCTGAGATTTTGAGTGAGATTGAGAGGTTCTATGGGCAGCTGTACACATCATCGTTGGAGCCACACGCAAGTGTGAGTAACGATACAAGAGCAAGTCTTACTCGACACTATTCCGATGATATCCCGGACGTCAGTCTGAGCGAGATTAGAATGGCTCTCCAGCACCTTAAAAACGGCAGGGCCCCAGGCGAGGATGGAATTACAGCGAAGCTTCTGAAAGAGAGTGGAACACCGGTACTTGAAGCCCTTCAGAAGCTCTTCAATTCCGTCCTCCATGGTCGCACTACTCCGGAGGCGTGGAGCAAAAGTGCGGTGGTCTTGTTCTTTAAGAAAGGCGACAACGCTGTCTTGAAGAACTACAGACCGATCTCCCTTCTGAGCCGCGTCTACGTGTTGGTTTCGAGAGTCATTACGAATCGTCTCACACGCAAACTCGACGACTTCCAGCCTCCCGAACAAGCCGGTTTCCGAAAAGGCTTCAGTACCATAGACCACATACATACCCTGCGGCAGATTGTACAGAAGACCAAAGAGTACAATCTGCCACTTTGCCTGACGTATGTGGACTATGAGAAAGCCTTTGATTCCGTCGAAATTTGGGACGTGCTACAGTCCCTTCAGCGGTGCCAAGTTTACTGTCGGTATATCGAGGTGCTGAAGTGTTTGTACAGTAGGGCTACGATGGCTATCCGAGTACAGAACCAGAATTCGAAAGTATCCAACTGTAGAGAAGTGTAAGACAGGGTGACGTTATATCCCCGAAACTCTTCACCGCTGCGTTGGAAGACGTTTTCAAGCTACTGGACTGGAAAGGATACGGTATTAACATCAATGGCGAGTACATCACTCACCTTCGATTTGCCGACGATATATTCCTTATGGCAGAATCACTGGAGGACCTTAGCACTATGCTCAATGACCTCAATGGTGTCTCCCAACGGATAGGTCTTAAGATGAACATGGACAAAACAAAGATTATGTTCAATCCATGTCACACCTATGTTTATTTTTAACCTATGTTTATGTTTAACCTATAGTTCGGAGATGTTCTATATATACTGTTTATGATTCGGAATGTTGATAGCGTGATTTAGGCTTCGGTGTATTTCGCTTGTGGCGCAACGACAGCGCCGCCACATCACCCCCCTGCTCAGACCGGAGGTCGATAGTGCAGTCTCGTTGTCGACGAATGTGCAAGTGCCAGTGGATTGCCTTGTAGTCTGCGGTGAGTCGAGAAGAAGGCAAGTAATCTGCGAGAGTGCCGTGAAGCAGAGGCGAGCAGTGAGGCTCAGAGCCGTGCCGAACACTGTATAGCGCAGAGAGTAGCTTGAAGGAACAGGAAGCATTATTATTCCAATGCTGCGATGAACCTTGTGAAGCTAGATGGCTTGCAGGATATGAAGACTGCAGACGATATCTGCTCGGGAGCGATACGGTGGGGTATTATATGACGATGATGAAGCTTGAAGTTTCCGAAGGTTGTTTGGTTGCGTGTTCAGATCACGTCGGGTAGTCACCACTGTGGCTATTTTGAGTTTTATTGTACAGAGGTGAAGGAGGGGCTTTATCAGTCTTTGCTTTGTTATCATTAGTCATATGTGACATATTTCTGTTTAAAGTAGAATTGGCTACTTGTGGGCCTGGAATTGACCCTTGTTGGACAAATTGCTGCTCCTGACCTAGTTGTGCCTTATATTCACTCTTTTTATCACTATCTGGGCAAAGCATGTTTTCATAAACAGAAGGAATTATTTTAGTTTTAGAGTTTACAGGCACTTGGGGTTGGGCTTTGCTGTATCGGGTGTCATAATATCCATCGGATACAGGTAGTGGAGGTCCATGCTGGTATATTTGATGGTAATATGGTGGCTGCGGTGAACACTGTTCACCATAATAATCGATATTTTCGTAAACAGGAGGAGGATATTGCGTGTTAGTATTTCCTGGTATTTCATATAAATCTTCAGTTTGGTAGCTCAGTGATCCTTGCGAAACACTATCGACTGTTCGCGTAGGGCTTTTGGGTAAAGCTGCAGTATTAATATCACATTTATTAATTGAAGCAATTGTCTCTACACGTTTTGGTGTCGCAAATTTCGAAGCCGCTATAACATTAGACCGTACGTAAAAGCTGTAATCTTGACGACTAGGGGTACTCTCTAACGTGAAACTCTCTATTGCGCCTACAGGCCTTGCCTTTCCGACAGCGCTATTGGAAGTTACAGCATTGTGCGCCTGCTCAGTATCGCTCTCATTTTTGTTAGATATTTTTAAATCTTGTAATCCAATAATACAGCGTTGATCTTCAGCGGTGCCTCTTCTTGATGGTCCATTATAAAACAAGAAAATAATTGAGACTCCAGATATATTACTACAAAAAACAAAAATGAATCATTATTTTATTGAGATAATTTTTAACAAAAAAGTAGTTGTGTTAAAGTAGTTGTGGGGAGCACTATGCTCGAAGTTGTTGACGAGTACGTTTACCTGGGACAAATAGTCCGACTAGGTAAGTCCAACTTCGACCGAGAGCTCAATCGACGGATTCAACTCGGCTGGGCAGCGTTCGGGAAATTACGACACATCTTCTCGTCAGGTATACCTCAATCTCTGAAAACTAAAGTGTACAACCAGTGCGTGTTGCCAGTGATGACTTACGGATCAGAGACGTGGTCCTTCACTGCTGGCCGTATGAGGACGCTCAAGGTCGCTCAGCGAGCTATGGAGAGGGCTATGCTCGGAGTTTCTCTGCGTGATAGACTCAGAATTGAGGATATCCGCAGTAAAACCAGAGTGACCGACATAGCCCAACGGATTAGTAAGCTGAAGTGGCAATGGACCGGCCATATAGCTCGAAGAACCGATAACCGATGGGGAAGAAAGGTTCTCGAGTGGCAGCCTCGTACCGGTAGGCGTAGTGTAGGGCGACCCCCACTAGATGAAGTGACGACCTGGTAAGACATGCAGGAAGTCGATGGATGCAGGTGGCTCAGGACCGTGCTTTGTGGCATTACTTGGGGGAGGCATATGTTCAGCAGTGGACTTGTGAAGGGCTGTAGCACATAGCACATAGCACATGTTCGGACGATCAATGACGTCAACGGAAGAATCAACTACTCATTCGCAGGAAGTGAATGATCATTCGTCGTGTGATGGCTATGTTGGCAGCCATGACGGCCCGCATCTGACAGCAGCGTCAATGTCAATGTCATAACTCTGAAAACAGCAACAGAGAGGTTATGCAGATTGTAAACAATACCTGCACCGACAAAACGGATACCTTCAAACTAGTGAAAATGATAACTGTGTGCAATCTTAGTGTTAAAGCATTAGTCGACTCAGGCAGTGACGTTAACATAATTTTATAAGAGTGTTACAAGGCATTAGGTCAGCCAAAAGGGGAAAATGACAATACTATTGTATCAGGGATTGGACAGTGTAAGGTTAAATCATTAGGAAAGTGTTATTTATAATTTATTACTGGTGATCAACATTTCGATGGTGTGTTCCACATTATTAGTGGCGACTATGTACCGTATAATGTAATTATAGGTCATGATTTTCTGAAAGATGTTATTATGTTAATGAAAGATGGTGCAGTGAGGTTTTATTTGAAAGATGACGAGTGGATGAAATGTTTGACTGTTGATAAGTGTGACCATGCTTCTTCTGTAGGTCCCATGACAGATCCTCAGTTGAAGAAGCAAGTACATTAGTTAATCTATCAATATGGACAACCAGTATAGAAAAAAGAAGCTTCCATACAGTTAAAAATAGTAGTGAAAGACAACATTCCAGTGACGCATCGACCCCGAAGATTATCTCTAAAGGAGCAAGAAATAGTGGAAAAACAGGTATCTGAATGGCTAGATAGGAAGATTATCCGGGTGTTTCTCTGAGTATTCTAGTCCAGTGGTTCTAGTGCAAAAAAAAGATGGGACAACTAGGGTTTGTGTAGATTACCAGGCACTAAATAGAAAAACATTATGAAGGATGAGTTTCCCTTGCCTATTATAGAGGATTTAATTGATAAATTGAAAGACTCTAAATTCTTCAGTATTTTAGATTTGAAAAATGGATTTTTTCATTTAAAAGTGAGCGAGGAATCTATACCCTATACTTCCTTCGTAACGCATCATGGCCAGTTTGAATTCTTGAGAGCCCCTTTTGGACTCTCAGTTTGTCCAAAGAATTTCATGAGATTTGTCTCAATTATCTTCAGAGATTTAATAAATAAGGGGATTGTTCTGATCTTTATCGACGATATTTTAATTCCAGCTAGCAATGAAAGCCAGGCAGTACAGCGCTTGCAAATGGTGCTTGAAGTGGCATCTGAATATGGATTGGAGATAAACTGGAAGAAAGCTAAACTTGTCCAGAAGGAAATAGAATATTTGGAAAACGTCGTCAAGAATGGAGAGGTAAAACCTAGCCCAGAAAAGACTGATGCAGTAGTAAGGTATCCCGAGCCCTGTAATGTCAAGCAAGTACAAAGCTTTGTTGGTTTAACCTCATATTTTCTAAAAAATATATAGAGAACTATGCATTGACTGCACAGCCATTGACAAATTTGCTCAAAAAAGATACTCCTTTTTGTTTTGGTGAAGACCAAAGAAAAGCGTTTAATATCTTAAAGTATAAATTATCTAGTAATCCAGTATTAAAGATTTTTAATAGTAGTTTGCCTACAGAATTACACACTGATGCTTCATGTTTAGCGTATGCAGCAATATTATTACAATTTCATCATGACGGATGGCATCCAGTTTACTATATGAGTCGAAAGACAAATGATGTGGAAAGAAAGTATTCAAGTTACGAATTAGAGGCACTAGCTATTATTGAAGGTGTAAAGAAATTTAGACATTATATGCATGGAATTAAGTTTAAAATCATTACAGATTGCCAAGCATTTGAACAAACATTGAGGAAAAAAGATTTGTCAACTAAAGTAGCGAGATGGGTACTATTTTTAGACCAATTTGATTTCACTGTGGAGCACCGAGCAGGTTCAAAGATGAAACATACAGATGCACTCAGCCGTGATTGTCCTACAGTGATGTTGATCACCGATATGCGTCAACAAATCAGACAAATGCAAGACCAAGACGAAGGCCTCAAAGCTATCAAAGAAATATTGAAGAATGGTTCTTACCAAGATTATTGCATCGAAAATGATTTGCTGTATAAAGGAGAATTAAAACAATTGCCCAAACTGGAAAAAAAGTATTGGTCATTTTTCATGCAAGAAAATGAAAGAAATCATAAGTAACAGCTGTTACATCAATCAGTTGGATAAGAAATTACAAGACTTCATGACAACATGCATACCATGCTTACTGGTAACAAGAAAATCAGGAAAACAAGAAGGATTTTTACACCCTATAGAAAGTAAAGTATGGAATTACGTACTTTGCATATCGACCATATTGGGCCTCTAATGGAAACTAAAAACAGTATAATTACATTTTGACAATGGTTGATGCCTTCACGTTTACATGGATATTTCCAACAAAGTCCACAACCAGTAAGGAAAAATTGGACAAATTAAAGATTTTTCAACAACATTTTGGCAACCCAGACAGAATAATAACTGACAAAGGTACCGCAATTACAGGAAATGATTTTCGAGAGTTTTGCGAGACAGAAGGTATTCAACATATCACTATAACAACTGGAGTACCACGTCGAAATGGACAGGTGGAACATGTGCATCGTACGATCATCTCGGTTTTGACAAAGTTATGTATTGAAGACCCTTCCTTATGGTATAAGCATGTAAGTCGATTACAGAGAGCTTTGAACAGCACATACCATAGGAGCATTGACACAACTACATTCACACTAATGGTTGGTACAAAGTTGAGACAAAAGGAAGATTTGAAAATATACAAATTTTACAAAGTGAAGAGGTTGAACAGTATAACAGAAACAGAGAAGATTTAAGAGTGAAAGCCAAACAACACATATTGAAATTACAAGAAGAAAATAGAAGAAACTTTAATAAGTATAGAAAAGAAGGCTGCAAGTATGAAATAGGTGATCTCGTAGCAATTAAGCGCACTCAGTTTGTCGTAGGACTTTAGTTGCGACCTGAATACCTAGGTCCCCAAAAGAAATGACCGCTTTGATGTGGAGAAAGTTCATACACATGATGAGGGTCCAGGGAAAACGTCGACCTCAGTTGATCAGATGAAATGATGGCCTGATGACCTTTGACTGATGACCTTTGAAGATGAAACAGGTGAGTGATATAAAGGATGTGAGTGGAATGATAAGAAGATGAATGTAAGATTATTTAGTTTTTGATTTTTTATTTGTCTTTATTTACTTTTACAATATTTTTATTTTTGTGGAAAGGAACACATGCACCATTATAAACATTATCTGTTTACATGATTTTATGTAAAGGTATTAGTTTTAATAAGCCTATATTTAAGACAATAACAATAACATACTTATAGTATTGTTATTGTTATATGGTTAGTAAAATATAAATAAAAGAAGATTGTTGTAACTGTTTTTTTTTTTGCGTAACTGTAATGGGAAATGTGAAGGAAATGTCTTTCAATAGAAACTAACTCTTTTTCTTCTTTTTAAATGACTGTGGTTTGAATTACTTTGTAAGTACCTATTACTGTAATAAAGGAAATGTTAAATAAAATACAAGACTATGTTGTATAGGTTTGTTTATTATTGCTAAGATAACTGTTTATTTTGTTTTTAAGTGTTGGTAGTAAGTAAATTTTTTTTGTAATGTTGTGAATGTTAAGGAGTGAAAGCGGCATGGATGCCTGAGGACAGGCATGAGATCAGGACGGCCGAATGTGGGATGGAACGCAGCGTAATGAAGTGATCTGGAAGGACCGGAGCGAATGACGAATGAGTAAAAGAATGATAGTGAGTGAGTAAGTGAGAATGATAAAAAAGGACGCTTGTAAAGACGCGCACGCAAAATTAATTAAATTTAAATAAAGAGTGTTTTCAAGATATTTCTGGTTTTACTGCACGGTCAACGCTACATATATATATAATACCATACGCCTCGGGCTGACTGGGAGAGAATTACAAAATGCGTTAAGTTCGCTCTTTGTATTTATTAAGGTGTACAATAAAGTGTAAATAAATAAATAAATCCGTTTTTAGTGCTCTCTTCTTACGTACTGATAGAATACGTGTCATAATGTAACATGGTACAGCCTCGTTGAAGCTACATTATAGTTATTGTAGCACGAATGGGTCGACTCTGCCGGGGAGGATCACTCTCCGTTACCTAATAGTATTCTATGCCACGCTCTCACAGAATACCAGCTTAATGCTGCTGTGTTCTAACGATGTAGTGGTGGTGGTGTAGGAATGTCTACTGCCCCATGTCGCCCGTAGGTGTCGTAATACCAGCTTAATGCTGCTGTGTTCTAACGATGTAGTGGTGGTGGCGTAGGAATATCTACTGCCCCATGTCGCCCGTAGGTGTCGTAATACCAGCTTAATGCTGCTGTGTTCTAACGATGTAGTGGTGGTGGTGTAGGAATGTCTACTGCCCCATGTCGCCCGTAGGTGTCGTAATACCAGCTTAATGCTGCTGTGTTCTAACGATGTAGTGGTGGTGGTGTAGGAATGTCTACTGCCCCATGTCGCCCGTAGGTGTCGTAATACCAGCTTAATGCTGCTGTGTTCTAACGATGTAGTGGTGGTGGTGTAGGAATGTCTACTGCCCCATGTCGCCCGTAGGTGTCGTAATACCAGCTTAATGCTGCTGTGTTCTAACGATGTAGTGGTGGTGGTGTAGGAATGTCTACTGCCCCATGTCGCCCGTAGGTGTCGTAATACCAGCTTAATGCTGCTGTGTTCTAACGATGTAGTGGTGGTGGTGTAGGAATGTCTACTGCCCCATGTCGCCCGTAGGTGTCGTAATACCAGCTTAATGCTGCTGTGTTCTAACGATGTAGTGGTGGTGGTGTAGGAATGTCTACTGCCCCATGTCGCCCGTAGGTGTCGTAATACCAGCTTAATGCTGCTGTGTTCTAACGATGTAGTGGTGGTGGTGTAGGAATGTCTACTGCCCCATGTCGCCCGTAGGTTTCGTAATACCAGCTTAATGCTGCTGTGTTCTAACGATGTAGTGGTGGTGGTGTAGGAATGTCTACTGCCCCATGTCGCCCGTAGGTGTCGTAATACCAGCTTAATGCTGCTGTGTTCTAACGATGTAGTGGTGGTGGTGTAGGAATGTCTACTGCCCCATGTCGCCCGTAGGTGTCGTAAGAGGCGATAGAGGGAAACCGAAACAGAAGATGGGTGGCAGCATCTTCTTAATAACAGCTGAACAAAAATTAACAAACTTTTAAAAAATTAAACCGACTTCAAAACAAAAAAGACACTACTTACTGCATTAAAAAGTGAAAAATAAACTTGATAATAGAATAGAATAGAAATTATATTTATTTTCTCATCACAAACAGGTACAATATTATTGATGAAAAACATGTTAAACTATAAACGTATTGAACCCTGGTTTGTGAGAGACTGGTGCCTAATAAAGGTATTAAACAATACTAGTTCTATAGGTCACCAGGTCCCTCCTCACGGATTGTATATCTTAAATTACACGTTTTTATAGCATATTGAAGACATCATTATTTTCATTTTATTGGTTAAGAGAAAATCGACATTTCGTAAATTGAAGGATAATATAACAAAGCCAATTAATTAAATTATACAGATACATATTTTAGATTAAAGTACATAATAATGTTATAATTATATATATAATGTGCGTGATATTAAAGTTGAGGATGTAAGAAACTTTCAGTGGATTCATATGTTAAAGATTTGAGCCAGTTTATTGTATTTTTTCTACACTCCTGTTCAGGAAGAGGATATATAGATAGCAGCCTATTTATTTTGTTGTATAAGTAATTACTAAGATAGGTATAGTGTCTCTTGGCTAAGCTGGATTTAACCGTCGTTGAAGGACATACTTTGCATTTTTTTTCTTTTTGTGGTGCTGAGATTCGGATCGTAATCCACTTGGGAATGCTTTCTGGTTATTATTTTTAGAATAAATATTTGCCTAACGGTGAGGACATCCTATAACCTGTACAGCTCCGACGTAGCATGTCTATAAGGGAGTTTAGCTACAGTTTTGAGTTTGCTCGTTGAGCTTTCTAAGCTTCTATAAGGTGAGTTTTGGCTGCACCACCCCATACTGTGATGCAATAGCTGATTATTGGTTGACTAAGAGCGTAATAAATAGATTTTATAATAGAAGGATCAGCTATGTGTCGAGGGATTTAAAAATATAAATAAGTTTTCTCAGTCTATAGATACCAGGGAATCGATGTGCAATTTGAAAGTGAGAGTAGAATCAACAATGACTCCTAGGTATTTAACAGATTCAACTCTTTCCATCGTGGGACACAAGCAAGAGGTGTAATTTAGAGAGTCGCAGTAGTGAGCAAAGATAGAGCCAGAAGTAGGTAGACTCGTCTTCTTTAGGGCAAAGGTCATGTATTTTGTTTTTGTGACATTAAGAGTAAGTATGTTATCCACCAACCATTTGTTAACACTGTTAAACACTTTTTGCGCAAGTTCAAAGACTTCCTCCCATGAGTCTCCATTAAAAACAAGAGCTGTATCATCGGCAAAGGTAACTATTTTGCCTCGAGGTAGCTGGATCTCGCACAGGTCATTAATATAGATGAGAAACAGCGTTGGACCTAAAATGCTTCCCTGCGGCACACCATAGGTTACAGAAAGCTTATTGCTGAGAAAACCACCAACCTTAACTCTCTGACAACGGTTGGTTAGATAACTCGCAAATAGATTCAATGCTACGCCTCGTACACCTACTCCTTCGAGTTTGTTTAACAAACGAGGAACAGAAACTGCGTCAAAGACCTTAGCTAAATCAAGAAAATCTGCTATATTCTTTTTTCCATTATCAATACTAGAGATTAATGTATTTGTTAACTCAAGAATGGCATCCTCAGTTGACCTTCCGGCTCGGAATCCAAATTGATTATTTGAGATTAATTTCATTGAGCTTAGAAAGTTAATAAGTCTCTTGTTTAGGATTTTCTCCAGGATCTTAGATAAAGTAGGTAGAATTGATATAGGTCTATAGTTATTAACGCAGTCACTGTCACCTTCCTTGTGAATTGGTTTGATAATCGAGATCTTTAGAAGTCTAGGGAATGTACCGGTTTCGAGGGCAGCATTACAAATGTGGGTTATTGGTGGTGTCAACAAATCACTATATTGCTTGAATAGCCAACCGGGAATTAAGTCAATGCTTGCAGCACAATCGCTCTTCAGTCCCATTATTATTTTGCCAACCTCATCTTCATCTGTAGGTAGCAAACAAAGTGAATTGCTCATATACGAGTTGGTGAGGAGTGGTTTCGGAGAGCCAAACTTAAGTTTAAGGTCCTCAGCTAATTTATTCCCAACTCCAGCAAAAAACTCGTTAATCGAGTTGGCAGTAGCAGTTGGATGTTTTTGGCAGGGTGGACTGGGTAACATGTCATCTTTATTCTTGGTGTATGTCACTTTTCTTATTACATCCCAGAGTTTCTTTTTGTTTTTTCCTGCCTGTTGTATAAGGGACTTTTCATAACTTCGTTTTGCTTTTTAAGAAGTGCATTACAGAAATTTCTGTAATTTCTGTAAGTTTTTATGAGGGTATTGTTATTCGGGTCTTTTTTGACTTTTTTGTGTAGGTTGTCACGGTTTCTTATACAACGCAGAATACCTGAGGTGATTCAGGGTTTCATAGTCATTTTTCGCCTCGAAACTTTAGCTATACCTACTGGAGTTATTCAAAATACATTTGTTGATAGCTTGGATGAAGAACTCTGTGGCCTTATCAACGTTATCCATTTGATATACCGAAGAAAAGTCCACATTTAGTAAGTCGTTTTGTAGTCCCACCCGATCTAGACGGTTTAGTGTGATTCGGTAATTTTCTTTTAGGTCTGACTTCAAACATATGTTAAGGGCTACTCCATCATGATCAGTAATTGAGGTTTCGATGATGTAACAGTGGGACCTCAACTTGGTTTTAATCATCACGTGATCCAAGCAAGTACGTCCATGAGGTAGTGTTGGTGCGGGTAAAATACTAAGACTAGCTAATAAGTTCAAATATTCATGACGCCTTTTATCAGTAGAGTTTGGCATGATATCTATGTTTATATCGCCTACAATTATTATATTTTTAAAGTTCGAAAGTTTGTGAATGAGGAGATCAAGAGAGATCGTGAAGTTGTCTGTATGGGAGTAACCGTGAGGGCGATAAATACCGATGATACGAGTACATGTGTCAGGTTTTAGCTTAATTACGATACAGTTCGCGTCAACCACCGATATCTCTTCAATTTGGATATTCAAATTTGTATTATAATATATAACAACTCCTTCATTTTATGTCATGTGTTTTGTAGTTTGTGTAAAGCTATAGTCAACTAGAGTGGGTATAGGTTTGGGATTAAGCAGCCAACACTCAGTTAACACTATAAAATTCCATTTTATTTCGGCTCTATCAATTAGTGTTTGAAAGCTATCAATATTACGAACAATACTCCTAATGTTGAGGGAAAAGATACGCAGATTATTAGGAGTTTGCGATAGTAAATTTTTTAGATTCTCAGTGCTACAAGTAGTAGAGGTGGCTAACTCAAAGGAATCCATTTCTACGTTTATGCGTCCATCGTCAGTAGTTATTTTATCGAATTTAAATAATATAGTGAGGGGTGGAGCAGTTTTATAGTTAGTGTGAGATGATAGATGCTACTGGCAGAGTATTGTTTCATATACGATTTAGTAAAAATAACACAATAAATATACCGACATAAGTTTATATAATATTTAGTATTGAAAATAGTGGAGTGTAATTTGCGTGTATCTTTAAGTGTTTTTATGTAAATACGCTGGCGTAAGTAAAGTTATTTTGATTTTAAAATGTAATGAATTTTATATAATATGAGTTTATCTAGAGTTTGTAATGTGTTAGAAGAAAAAAATAATATGTGATAAAAGGAAATAAAATTGAAAAACACTTATAAAAAAAGTAAATGAATTTGATTTGGATTGGGGGGTTTCCTTCTTCTTTTTTGCCATACACCTTTCCGAAGGACGTCCAAGTGGCAACAAGTTTGCGATCTTTAATAAGCTGTCTTGCCAAATAATGGATTTCGTCCTGAGGGATTCCGATATAAATATAGTTTTGGGAGGTCCAGGTATATTAATAATTTGAGTATTGAGTTGTGGTTCTTTTTTTGTTCTTTTCAACTTATTAAATTCCCTATATTTCGAAATGAAGTTTTCCTTCCTTGTGGTAGTTGTGAAATCAACCATAATTGCATTAGTTTTGGTTCTAAAGACATCACGAACTTCCAAATCTTGAAGCAAAGGATTCGAATCGACAGCTGAGCATATATTTTTAATAGTGGTGGTCAACCTCTGTTTGTTTTCTTGTTCCAAGATTGGTATGTTCCGTATTTCCACAGTTGTGGATCTTAAGCCCTTCTCCAGTACATCTACTTTGGATTCCAGCGACTTAATTTGCGACTTATATTGCTGGTTTTCTTTTTCAATTGAGTTCAATTTATGAACTAAAGTATCATATTGTTCGGACATAAAATCAACAGATTTTTGGATCTCTTTGTTTTGCTCAATTAGAGTAGAAATAGAAGAGTTTATAACATCAAATTTATTATCTTGATATAAGCGTAACTCATTAAACATTTTTTCAATTGACAAATTTGAAGTTACCGGCGTATCAATGAGCCTACGTTTGGTTCTTTTGGTAATGTTTATTAAATTATCTTGTTCATCAACACTCGTACAAGATATGTTAAGGGCAGAATCAGATCCATAAACGGTTGATTGACATTTATTATCCGCGAGCCTAAACAAAGGAATTTGAGGAGGAGTGCGTTGTATCTTAGACATGATTCAAGTTTTATTAAGTATTCCACTAACAAACACCGTCCAGTCAGTGTAAGGGGTGGAGCTTGCGCGAGCGTGCCTCCCACTAGATGGCAAAGATAGTAGGTGGGGATTTATCCCAGTTATAATGCGTACTGTTGCGCTCACTCAATGTTATTATTTCCTTCTTAGAATACTGCGGTCCTGGTACTCTCACGAATTAAACTTAGTAATTTAATGAAAAATAAAACTATATTATAAGGTGCAAAAAACGCGACTGATCTCTTCAGAGGTCCGGTAGGAAGGGGGAATTATTAGTTATTATTTAAATATTTAATTAATAAATATTTAAATAATAACTATTAAAAAATAAAAATAATATATTTAATTCAAAGAAAAAAAAAATGCGCACAATACTATTATTGGACGTCTAATTCGTTTATAATAACGTGCTATACCTACATACTAAATTTATACAATATATAAATAAACTAAACACTTGACTTATGAAAACTATCTACTTATAACTATTCAAAATATTATTCTATAAATACCTTTATACAATACCTATTAGTTTTATCAATAAAACCATTTATTTACAAATAAGAATTACTTATTTACACAATTATAATTCGTTTCTAAATATGTTACCTATTAATATTAGAGTTAAAGGATGTTTGTCCCAGCCCACAGGCTGGGACTGCATACCAAATAAGGTCCTTAAAGACTTCAAACAAATTTTCGTCCCTTCTTTGACACATATTTTTAACAACTGTTTATCTCAAGGTATATTTCCCACGTTTTAAAAAATCTATGGTATTTCTAATTTACAAGGCAGGTAAACGAGACTGTGTCAACAACTACAGGCCTATATCGATACTTCCATCCATCTCTAAGCTTATGGAACGCATAATCAATAAAATACTTGTCAAATACATAGAAGGAAATAACTTTATTTCTAAAAGCGAGTTTGGTTTTAGACCCGATAAATCAACTAGTGATGCAGTCCATAAGGTTACTGATTATATAGTAGGTAATCTGGATAAGCGCAAGAAAACTATTGGTATATTTTTGGATCTTGCGAAGGCTTTTGACATAGTCTCCATTCCTTTACTATTGCATAAGCTTCTCTTGGAATACGTGGTGTTCATTTAAATTTATTTAAGGAACATCTTTCTAATAGATATCAATGTGTCAAAATCAACAATCAAGTTAGTGGAGATCTACCAATTACACACGGTGTGCCACAAGGCAGTATATTAGGCCCAAGCTTGTTTATAATCTATATAAATGACCTAAGTCAGCTAAACATCCTAAATTGTAAAATAATTTGCTATGCAGATGACACTGTCTTGCTATTCTCTGATGACTCGTTGGAGAATGCTTACAAAAGAGCACAATTCGGTTTAAATCTAGTTACTGATTGGCTACAACAATATTCTCTTACTCTTAATGTTGAGAAGACACATTTATCTCCTTTAGTATGCGAAACTCTACCCAACCGACGCCGTCTCTTTCACTAATAGCTCATAGTTGCTGTAATAATAACATCTGTTCATGTCCTTCCATCACTAAAACTGCTTCCATAAAATATTTGGGGGTAATATTAGACCAAAATTTAACCTTTCGTGAACATATACTTATGGTTTGTTCCAAACTAAGAAAACTAAGCTTTATCTTCAAACATATTCGACATGTGGCGCATCCCAAATTGTTGAAACAAGTATACTTAGCTCTTGCTCAATCAATCCTGAACTTTTGTATTACTGTGTGGGTAGGTGCATCAGAATCGATCTTAAAACCCCTTGAAATAGTACAAAGAGCAATCCTTAAAGTATGCACATTTAAACCCTTACTTTCCCCTACGTTTCAGTTATATAAATCCTTTGGAGTACTCACTGTTCGTCAACTATTTATTCTAAACACAGTGTTAAAACAACATTCGTGCTTATCTTATAATAAAGATCTCTTGTTATCTAAACGAAGAAAAGATAAAGTTTGCAAAAATAGACCTATTTCTAGACATTCTTTCCTTAATAAATGACCACTTCTTTATAATAAAATCAATAAAAAGACTGAATTGTACTCTTTAAATAAAAAGAAATGCAAAATTAAATTCTTTGAATTTCTTCATCAGGTAAACTTTGAAGCAACGGAAGCATTACTTACTACTAGTTAATATTACTTACACACCCTCTTACACACACTCTTACACACACTCATGCATTCAACATATTATACACAAAGAGATACATATAAATACACATTAACTTTTTTCTTTATATCAAAACACATTTTTATGTTTTAGATGTACATTTTATCTGTTGTATACCTTCTATTTAAGTTATACTTATGCTAGTATGTTTATATGTAATAGGGAAGAGCACTGTGATCTGAAATACAGATATATATTTATCTAGTTCAGATACAGATGTTCCATTATTCTTTGTGAACTAGGTGTAGATAATAGAATAGTTATTTAAAAATGTGATAGCTATGCAAGTGGAGAAAATTAAGTATTGTTATATAAAGTATTATTATTATTATAATTTAAGTAAAATAATATTATAGGGGCTATAAACCTACTCATCTGTTTGAAGTCGGTGTATTCTTAAGTTAACTAGCACCATGGGTAGACCAACTAAAGGTGCCGCCCGCACGAGGGAAAATAGAATTAAGGAAACTGTTAATGCAAATACGGAACGTATATCCAAGAATCGCAAACGGAAAAACTTTTCCAAGACTAAGGCAGCAAATTTAAGATGGGGCAGTATACATAAAAGTATAAAATCGTGGTGAACTGTGTAAAAACCGTTAGACATGTCTACTAACACCATCACTGTTACTTTTTTGGTATCCATTCCGTGTTTTATATTCTCAGTAAATAGCAAAGCAGTGGTGGTGCTGGGACCGAAATCTAGACTGGTAAACACTCAGTAGATTATTTTTGGATATGAAATTCGACATTAGCCTATATACACAGGCCTCTAAAACTTTGGAAAGAAATGGCAAGATAGATATGGGACAAAAATGTTAAGGGAGTAAACGGTTTGAACCTTTAGGAAGAGGATGCACATAGCCCTTTTTACAAAGGGTTGGATATTGTCCAGAGTCTGGAGAAAATTTTATAATATGCATTACAGCTGATAGAAGATATTCTAATATGTTAACTATCATACTTCTACTGATTTTATCAAAATCTACGGCCCTAGATTTGATTGCAAGTACAGCCTTTTTAACTTCATCTTGACGAACCGGTGAAAAATTAAAAATGAGGTATGAGAACATTATATTAAAGCTAAATAAGCTAGCTTTAGTACGAAATGCAAGATCCATTGCTGTAGTAGAATATAATTGCACATTCAAGTCATTGAGAAAGAGAAGGACCGCAATCCTGACTAGGTTCCTTACCCACACCAAAATGCTTTAGAAATTTCCAAACATAGGCTAGTGAAAATTTACAAATATTAGTATTGACACAGCGGCGTTTTGAGTTTCGTGTCATCTGATTGCAGCAATTCCTGCATAACTTAAATGTTAACGAATTTTCTCCCGTTCGTTCCCTTCTAAATCGAAGAAAAGTCATTAGCTATCCGAACACTGCTACCCATAGCGCAAGAGCACGTTTTGATTTAACTTTGTGAATCGAAGCTTGAGCATTATACCGGCTGAGAATGGTATTATTTAGTTAGAATATCCTTCATCAACTATAGATGCTCTTCCTAAAGGATTGAAATTTAAATTAGAAGTGTTGTCTCAGAGACTTTCCGGGTTTACTTTTTGAAGTTGCGTAATTGCAAAGTTTTAGTAGCAGTTTTGGGTACCAAATGAATGAACTGATTTTCATAGAAGAGAAAAGAAATTAAGGTATTTTGGACACAATTGAGACATGTGATAAAAATCACAAGCGAAAAACACTGTAGCTAAAACCAGGCTAAATACCGGAACGATGCTCTGAAGTGAAATTCATCTATAAAAAAAGGTATCTATTTGGTTACCACTTCATGGTGTAATTTACCATAGCTTTTTGATATTCGATGTTTTAATAACAGCAGATATCTATTGTCAAGAATTTCAAACTATGATGCTTACAGTTAGAACCCATACGTCATCCTCCCGACACGTCAGACCCAGCCCGAAACGATTAACATTTTTTTGCAAATTGGACTATTTCCAGTAAGAAATTTTTTTCAGGAAAGAGTACAAAATGACTACACAGACTTCGTAGAATTCAGATCTCCAGCGATCTATCGCAAAACTATAAATGAAAGATGACAGAAACGTATGGATAATGAAGGTGAATACATCGATTAAATAAATATATTTTTTCTAGGGAAAAAAGGCGATTTCCAATATAAAACGGCAATTTTGTACTTAACTCCTAATAAAACAAAGAGCCTAATGAGACAAGCGCTTAGGTCAAATAATGTATTTGGAGCAATCTCAATATACAAAGTATAATTTTAAATAGTTTAAGTTGTAGATTGTATTTATGGTTTTGTAATGACTGAATGAATGAATTTACGGTATAGTGGTGGTGTAAGAATATCCACTATCCCATGTCATCCCGTGGGTTTGGTAGGAGGCGACAGAGGGAATCAATAATTCTTGCCGGCAACGCACCCGCAATTCTCCTGGTGTTGCGGTTGATCATGGGCGGCGGTAGTCACTTAACATCAGGTGAGCCACATGCTCGTTTGCCCCTTCTTCTATAAAAAAAAAAAATTCTGGAGATGCGCAGCAGTGTCTTCCTACTGACGCCTGAAAGTAAAAATAAACTGCGGCTGCCAACCCGCTTGCCAAGCGTGGCAACTGTGGCAAATGTCCGCCTATGACACAATCATCTATGGTGGAGGCCTATATTCAGCACTTAAAAAATAATTAAGATTTCCTTCCAAGTAACATAAAAATCTAACGAATACTACATTATTTTTATCCAAATTAAAGTTATATTTAATTGAAAAATGTTTCTATAATTTAAATGAATATTTTGATACAAATATTATTTTATTTGTGTGGACAAG